ACAAAATCCTTTGGGCCGAAATGTCTTGTGAAGAAAAACCTTGAAACCAGACCGTTTCACAAAATCCTTTGGGCTGAAATGTCTTGTGTGAAGAATAACGTTGAAACCAGACCGTTTCACAAAATCCTTTGGGCCGAAAGGTCTTGTTTAGAGAAAAACCTTGAAACCAGACCGTTTCACAAAATCCTGGGAAGCGATTGCAAGAAACCGAGGCAGCCAAAAACGGCAAGCCAGTGACACCACGGCAACCGCCGTCTCACAGACAAAAGAGGACACCAAAGAATGTCAAGAAGTAACAAATACCACATTACGAACGTATGTCTGTCCAGCCTGCGGCAAAGCTACAAAATCCACAATAATTACCGGAGAGGTGCTAACACAAGGACATTGCGGACGACGCTTTCGTGTCAAGAATGGTGCAGTGTGTCGGCAGTACACCCACTATTGTCCGGCTTGCAACACGAAGGTGACATCAACAAAATCACACGGACGAATACAATCGAAGCACAGAAATGACACAGGACGATATTGTAAAACATATCAGTGGACCAGTGCCGGCCCAAAGTAAGTTGTCATGTTTGAATTTGACTTATTCTTCTCCTCCTTCTTCTTCAGTTGCTGTTGTTCTGCTGCTCCGGCTGCTGCTGCTGCTGCTGCTCCTACTCCTGCTGCTAATGCTGCTGGTTGCAGCTGCAGCTGCAGCTGCTGTTGCTGCTGCTCTTGCTGTTCCTGCGCTGTTGCTGCTCCTGCTGCTTCCAAGGCAAGAAACCAACAGCCAGACATCTTTTTCGAAACCCACTCGAAACGACAAAACACCACCTAAGTTCGTGCCGAAAAGGACGCAACATCGCATCAAACAAGTCCCTAACGTGTCTTCTGAAATCCTAGAGAATTCTAGGATAAATCCTAGAGAATCCTAGACTATATATAGTACTGGCGGCCTGCTGGCTGCTACAAAAACGTAGGTCCCGGACAGGGAAACACCATGGCTGGGCCTGCTGTTCCTCGGTCCTGCTAGATTGCTGTTCTTGCTGTTCCTGCTGTTGCTGCCTGCTGTTGCTGCTGCTGCAGCAGCTGCATCTTAGAGAATCTTAGACTATAAATCCCAGAAAATCTTGCAGCTGCCGGTGCTGGTGCTGTCGTCCGCTGGTGCCGGTGCTGGTGCTGTCGTCCGCTGATGATGCTGCTGTTGCTGCTGCTGCTGCCGCCGCTGCCCAAAAGCACCTCTCGGCACCAAAACAGCCGTTGCTGCTGTGCCATCAACCAGCCTCCAAGGCGAGAAACCAACAGCCAGACACCTTTTTCGAAACTCACTCGAAACAGCCAAACACCACCTAATTTCGTGCCGAAAATGACGCAAAGTGGCAGCAAAAAACTGCCTAACCTGTCTTCTGAAATCCTAGAGACGCCTGCAGAATCCTAGACTATAAATCCTCGAAAATCTTAGACTATATATAGTGCTGGCTGCCTGCTGGCTGCTGCAGAAACGTCGGTCCCGGACAAGGAAACACTATAGCAGTGCAAGACGGAGGCAGCTGCTAGTGCTGTCGTCCGCTGATGCTGCTGCTGCTGCTGCTGCTTTTGCTGTTCCTGCGCTGCTGCTGCTGCTCCTGCTGTGCCATCAACCAGCCTCCAAGGCGAGAAACCAACAGCCAGACTTCTTTTTCGAAACTCACTCGAAACAGCAAAACACCACCTAATTTCGTCCCCAAAATGACGCAAAATCGCAGCAAAAAAACTGCCTAACGTGTCTTCTGAAATCCTAGACAATCCTAGAGAATCTTATCTTAGACTATAAATCCTAGAAAATCCTGCAGCTGCCGGTGCTGGTGCTGTCGTCTGCTGATGCTGCTGCTGCTGCTACTGCTGCTGCTGCTGCTCTTGCTGTTCCTGCGCTGCTGCTGCTCCTGCTGTGCCATCAACCAACCTCCTAGGCGAGAAACCAACAGCTAGACAATTTTTTCGAAGCTCACTCGAAACAGCAAAACACCACCTAATTGCGTGCCGAAAATGACGCAAAGTCGCAGCAAAAAACTGCCTAACGTGTCTTCTGAAATCCTAGAAAATCCTAGAGAATCCTAGACTAGGTCCTAGACTATAAATCCTAGAAAATCTTAGAGAAACCAACAGCTAGACATCTTTTTCGAAACTCACTCGAAACAGCAAAACACCACCTAATTTCGTGCCGAAAATGACGCAAAATCGCAGCAAAAAACTGCCTAACGTGTCTTCTGAAATCCTAGAAAATCCTAGAGAATCCTAGACTAGGTCCTAGACTATAAATCCTAGAAAATCTTAGAGAAACCAACAGCTAGACATCTTTTTCGAAACTCACTCGAAACAGCAAAACACCACCGAATTTCGTGCCGAAAAAGACGCAAAATCGCAGCAAAAAACTCCCTAACGTGTCTTCTGAAATCCTAGAAAATCCTAGAGAATCCTAGACTAGGTCCTAGACTATAAATCCTAGAAAATCTTAGAGAAACCAACAGCTAGACATCTTTTTCGAAACTCACTCGAAACAGCAAAACACCACCGAATTTCGTGCCGAAAAAGACGCAAAATCGCAGCAAAAAACTCCCTAACGTGTCTTCTGAAATCCTAGAGAATCCTAGAGTCCTAGAGAATCTTAGACTACAAATCCCAGAAACTCCTGCAGCTGCCGGTGCTGGTGCTGTCGTCCGCTGATGCCGGTGCTGGTGCTGTCGTCCGCTGCTGCTGCTGCTGCTGCTGCTGCTGCCGGCTAGACATCTTTTTCGAAACTTACTCGAAACAGCAAAACACCACCTAATTTCGTGCCGAAAATGACGCAAAGTCGCAGCAAAAAACTGCCTAACGTGTCTTCTGAAATCCTAGAAAATCTTAGAGAAACCAACAGCTAGACATCTTTTTCGAAACTCACTCGAAACAGCAAAACACCACCTAATTTCGTGCCGAAAAGGACGCAAAATCGCAGCAAAAAACTGCCTAACGTGTCTTCTGAAATCCTAGAGAACCCTAGAGAAGCTTAAACTACAAATCCCAGAAAATCCTGCAGCTGCCGGTGCTGGTGCTGTCGTCCGCTGATGCCGGTGCTGGTGCTGTCGTCCGCTGATGCTGCTGCTGCTGCTGCTGCTGCTGCTGCTGCCGGCTAGACATCTTTTTCGAAACTTACTCGAAACAGCAAACCACCACCTAATTTCGTGCCGAAAATGACGCAAAGTCGCAGCAAAAAACTGCCTAACGTGTCTTCTGAAATCCTAGAAAATCCTAGAGAATCCTAGACTAGGTCCTAGACTATATAAATCCTAGAAAATCTTAGAGAAACCAACAGCTAGACATCTTTTTCGAAACTCACTCGAAACAGCAAAACACCACCGAATTTCGTGCCGAAAAGGACGCAACCCAAGGAGCCCCACGTACTTCGAGGAGACTCCGGGAAGGACCCCCCACCGGTGAAACAAAAACCCCGGAGTCAAGGAATCGAGGTACGTGACCGGTGGGAGGGGGACCCAAGAGAGTCCCCCGGCAAAGGGTCATGGTTATTGTTGTTCGTTGTTGTTTCTTGTTGTTTGTTGTTGTTTGGTGTTGTTTGTTATTGTTGTTTGTTGTTGTTTGGGTTTATGTTTGTCTTTGTGGTTGTTGTTGTTCTTGTTCTTGTTTGTTCTTCTTCTTGTTGTTGTTGTTGTTGTTATTGTTGTTGTCGTTGTTGTTATTGTTGTCGTTGTTGTTGTTATTGTTGTTGTTGTTGTGGTTGTTGTTGTTGTTGTCGTTGTTGTTGTTGTTGTCGTTGTTGTTGTTGTTGTCGTCGTTGTTGTTGTTGTTGTCGTTATTGTTGTTGTTATTATTATATAATATTATTATTGTTCTTGTTCTTGTTCTTGTTGTTGTTGTTGTTGTTGCTGTTGTTGTTGTTGTAGTCCTTTTCTTCCATCTTCTTCCCTTACGTGCTCCCCCTTGCGTCGGCCGGGGTCGGCGGATTTGACTGACATTAGCATTGGCATTTTAGTTGGCTATAGGCTATAGGATCTATGGGTCGGCCTATATATATTACTAACGTATCCTATAGTGTGGGCCACATGCTCAGTACTGTGTGATATGTTCTTAAAACCAATGCGACGCACAAAAAATCAGCCTTGGAAGAACAGAAGAGACATGGTTTATCGTTTTGGATGAATCCTGCTTAAAACATGCTGCCGTGGAATCCAGTCCATGAGCTGTTTCCAGATGATGTTTGCAACCGACATAGTGAGTTTGTGCTGCCGTCATTGTTTCCAATCAAGTCTCCCATTCGAGCCTCATATTTTGCAAGGGGTTGAAGAATGTCAAAATATCACTGGGTCGTGAGCGGATTTAATCCCAGTGAAACATAAGTAGAACTCAGTCTCTTGCAACTTGAGGCATCCCAGTGCGATGGCAATCTTTCAGCAAGGACCCCAGGACCTCTTTGCAGAAGTGGAGCCAGCAGAAGCGATGTAAGTCTTCTGACTGTTTCGTTCCGCATTTCGTGTTCTCCGCACAGCTCAGTTTTGTCCAACAGTTTCGTTCTTGCAAATGCCTTCTCTGTACCTTGAGATCCTTTTTTTCCTTGATGACATCTCAGTTTTTGTTCAGCCCCGAACCAACCGAAGCTCCAAGGCATCTCTTCCCCGGCTGATGATGGGCAGTTGGAAGTGGGAACTGCTGCAGCTCGCTGCAAGGCGGGGATGCCTTGCCAGAGAAGTGAGAGACCCAAGTTTCTTTTGACATCTGCGTCTTGAAGTCCCAATTTTTTGGGACTAGACAAAACATCGCGGCATCGATATATGTCAATATTCCATTCACCGTCCTTTATTGAACCGCTTCCTTGAAGTGAGCTTGATGTGCGTTTGTTTCATCTGTTTGACCATTTAAGCCTTGCAACTTGACTTGACCATTTGCCACATGTGGAAACAGCCTTCCATGAGTGAAACATGTTGAAACGTTGTTTTGGGCTAAGCAGTTTTGAGTGACCGCCATAAGTGCGGAACTCCATTTTGGTGATGGGCTGCAGCTGCAGCAAAAACGATGCGTTGGAGCCGCGCCGTCCGCTGCCAACATTGTTGGTGGCTGTGCCGAAACACAGCGAACCATCAGACCGCAAAGGAGAGAAGGATGTTACGAAGGCTCAGAAGGCAGAGAGGGCTGTTGAAGTCTCGTGCCATGCCTCTGCAGGTGCGAAGTGGCATTTGGAGCTGCTGGCTGTGAGCGCCGAACTGAAAGAAAAGCTGCAAGATCCTCAGTTCGTGGCGACCCGCTGCGACTTGGATGGCTCTGGCGATCTCGATGCACACGAGCTGAAGCAGGCGGCCAAGGTCTATGGCATCTCGCAGAGTGGCAGCTCCGAAAACCACGGCATCAATCCTCGTCTCATGGCTGGGCAACGCGTCAGCAAGGAAAGCTTCGCTGAAATGGTGGCCTCTCAAGGAAGCACCAAGCTGATCAGAGCCTTTGATTCAAACACGGTCAAAGTTTTGCTAGGTGGAACATGTCCGCAGAATACATTGACAATATCGACATGCATCTCACTTTGGCCCAATTTCGATCGGCGATTTGTTAAACGCTTCTTTTTTATTTTTTAATGTTTGTTCAGCGGTTGTTTTCTGGATCCATTTCCGAATCAGCATGAATCTACAGCGACGCAAAGCATGAAGACATGAATGGGGGTTCGGAATATTTGGACATGTTGGTGCCCATGAAGCATGACTTTGCAGGCATTTCCAGGTCGTTTGATACATGTTGACGCACCGGAATCTGTAGAACGATGAACAGTGTAGAAATTACTTAGTCCGGAATTTGAAACCAATCTGAATCCAAACACTTGGCAGCACATCTTCGCTGAGTCAGGAGCAGTCCCGCACTCCTTGCGTGGAATGGCATTGGGCCAGCTTCAACATCTTGAAGCCTTGTTCGTCAGAACCGGATGGCTCTCTGCACGATGTGAATCCTTCAACGCAGAGAATGCCCATGCCATTGCCAATCGCACGAAGTTCAGACAAGATACCAATCTTTATGCCTTGGACACTTTTGTGGTGACTCCAATGTCGAAGCCAGGCATGTGCGGAGCCCGTGAACATGATGAGCAGCAGACCATTGCCGAAGCACGCGGAATTTCATCCTTTTCACAACTGGTGAATCCATTCGGCCTGTTTGTTCACTGCTTTGTCTCCCATTTTTGGGGACACAACTGGACCAGCACTGTCACGGCTCTTGAATTGTGGGCAGGTGCGAACTACGACAAGCTGACCTCGGAGAAGGAGGCCCTGGTCTACTGGATATGCCTCTTTGCGTTGAACCAGCACGACGTGGCGGAGGAGGTGGGGGAAAATCCTCAGCAGGGACCATTCAACGCAGCACTGGCGCAAGCCACTGGTGGTGCAGTGATGGTTTTGGATGAAGAAGTGAAACCGTTCTCACGCATCTGGTGCCTCTTCGAGGCTTCTCGGTTGAAGGACTTGCAGCGTCCCTTTGAACTGATTTGCAGTGAGGGTTCCTTGTCTCAGCCAGAGAACGGTGGACACAAGGCTGTGAGCACGAAGATGCTCGAAACCACATGCCAGGCCTTGTGGAACGTGTCCACTGCCAAGGCTCAAAGCTCAATAGCTGCGGACAAATATCAGATTTGGCAAGAAACGGCTGACGAAGCCATCAGAGGTGTGATACAGGGAGTGGGTGCCGAACGCTTCTTCACAAATGAGATAGATGTCCATGGGGCCGATGCGTTGGCAGAGGTCTTCGGCGACTTTGATCGCTACATGAAGTCTCTACTCTCCACCACGGTGCTGAAGGTCCTGATGGCTAGGGCCGACTTTGCTTCGGCGGCCACGTGCTGCCTTCAAGGCGCAGATGTTAGTTCTGAGCAGCTGGCAGAGATTTGCAGCAGTTTTGCTGCAGAAACTGAGAGAGAAGACTGGTTGAACAGCATGCTGCTGCAGGCATCGAATCCATCCATGGTCAAGCTGCTTTTGGAGCAGGGTGCTGACGCGAGGGCAGCCAGGCACGATGGTGCCACAGCATTGATGTTTGCTGCTCAAGGTGGCCATGTGGCCGTGGCCCAGCTGTTGCTACAGCACGGTGCCGATGATGGTGAAACAGCATTGGTGTCGGCTGCTCTAGGTGGCCATGAGGCCGTGGCCCAGCTGTTGCTACAGCACGGTGCCGATGTGGCGGCAGCAAGCAACGGTGGTGTCACAGCATTGATGTATGCTGCTCAAGGTGGCCATGAGGCCGTGGCCCAGCTGTTGCTACAGCACGGTGCCGATGCGGCGGCAGCAAGCAACGGTGGTGTCACAGCATTGATGTTGGCTGCTCTAGGTGGCCATGAGGCCGTGGCCCAGCTGCTGCTACAGCACGGTGCCGATGTGAGGGCAGCACAGGACGATGGTGGCACAGCATTGATGTGTGCTGCTCTAGGTGGCCATGAGGCCGTGGCCCAGCTGCTGCTACAGCACTGTGCCGATGTGGCGGCAGCAAGCAACGATGGTTTCACAGCATTGATGTGTGCTGCTCGGCGTGGTCATGAGGCCGTGGCCCAGCTGTTGCTACAGCACGGTGCCGATGTGGCGGCAGCAAGCAACGATGGTTCCATAGCCCTGATGTTGGCTGCTCAAGGTGGCCATGAGGCCGTGGCCCAGCTGTTGCTACAGCACGGTGCCGATGTGGCGGCAGCAAGCAACGATGGTTCCACAGCATTGATGTTGGCAGCTCGAGGTGGTCATGAGGCCGTGGCCCAGCTGTTGCTACAGCATATCACAGTTTTGATATTGGCTGCTGCTACAGCACTCCGTGGCTAGGCTCCTCAGGGAGTTTCAGCGTTGGCTTTTTGGATAGCCGCTGCGGCCATCCAATTCATCCATATCGTAGAGAAAGGGATGCTGTGCAACGAGTGTGCTGCAAACTTGTGTGATGGAAACTGTTGGGAAGTCCTGATGAGTTCGTTTGTGTATGATTTGTGTTGGTCAAAAGCTTTGCATGATCAAAGATCTCCCAGATCTTTCAACATTTTGATCATCAATCCAACCGGCACCAGGGCACCCGAGGATGTCAGCAACTCTCTTGGGATCTCGACAAACATGGATGTACCGGGACAGTTCCACCAACAAACACCAGATCACTTCGAGAAAAACAGAGGCTACCAACACCTTACCCACACTGATGCATGGACTGATTCAAGATGTCATCAACTGTTCACCATCTTGGCTCAAAATCTTAAACCACGCTCCCCAAACATGTTTCCAACAACCGGCGTTGCGAGGCTGAACTGGAGCCTTGAGGAGTGATCAAGAATTGATGTCTGATGGGAGTATGAAAATGGATGAAGTTCGGGGTACCGGATAGTCATCATCTTCAGTACTAAACCGTCCAATGACCTGGGGGTTTTGCATTGACTCAAGAAACAAAACATGTCAAAAGATGTCAGTTGTCGAAGTGGTCTGCGATGTAACTGTAATCTTTGTTCCAGTGCCAAACTTAGGGTTTTTTCTTCATCATTTTGGGATGGGAGGACCTCTGCAACTCTTTACAGCGCATCACATTGCCATACCATCCACTTGAGATCGTAGAGCTTGGCGTTGAGCATTCGGGCGGCAGACCGCGGGGAGGCATTGGTGCTAGCGGCGCACTTTGCAAGCTCGGAGGCTCGGTTGATGTGGATTGATTGGTTGATTTTTAGTAAGCAGATTTTGCCTTCTTATCACTGGGTCATGAACGGATTGAACGGATCTAATCCCAGTGAAACATGACTTCCAACTCCGTTTCTTGCAACTTCAGGAAGAAAGTCAAATGATGTTCCTCCTGCATGGCCCGGCCCGGTGTAATCGGATTTAATCCCAGTGAAACCTAACTAAAACTCAGTGTCTTGCAACTTGAGGCATCCCAGTGCGATGTCAAACTTTCAGCAAGGACCCCAGGACCTCTTTGCAGAAGCGGAGCCAGCAGAAGCGATGTAATTCTTCTGGTTGTTTCGTTCCAGATTTCGTGATCTCCGCACAGCTCAGTTTTGTCCAACAATTTCTTTGCAAATGCCTTCTCTGTACCTTGAGAACTTGAGATCCGATCTTTCCTTGACATGTCAGTCTTAGCTCAGCCCCGAACCGAAGCTCCAAGGCATCTCTTCCCCGGCTGATGGTGGGCAGGAAGTGGAAACTGCTGCAGCTCGCTGCAAGGCGGGGATGCCTTGCCAGAGAAGTGAGAGACCCAAGTTTTTGTTGAAATCTGCGTCTTGAAGTCCCAGTTCTTTGGGACTAAACTTAAGACTCCCAGAAGTGGGAAACACTGTTGGGTATCAAAATTTATTTTTTAGTGATTATTTAGTATTTCTCTAGCGTTTCTGATTAGCGTTTATTTTGTTAATGTTTTGGCTTTCCATTTTTTTGTCCACAGATTCAAGGTGATTGCGGTTTGGTTTGCTCAGTTCCTTGTGTTGTGTCCACCGTTTTGCTCACAAGCAGAGGCAAGTTGCTTGGGGAACGCTGAAAGAAAACTTGTTGTCAATCTTTGGGTGTGGGTTCTGACAAATATTGGAACTACCCTACTCATACTGGAACCCATCATAGAAAGTACTTCAATATTGAAAGGAAAATATAGATTTCTAAGTTCACAGTTCAGGCAAGGGGCCCTGTTGGAATGTACGATAATGCGTGAGTTTAAGTTTAAGTCAAGAAAGGATGGTCAGTAAATACTATTCGTCTGCTTAGCCAAGCTTCAATATCTATGTTGTTCGATATCTGGAACCCTCTAGACTCTAGACTCTAGACTGTATCCCAAAGGTTTTAGAAAATGTGACAACTTTAGAATCTGTAACTCTTAGTTAGGATATTTAGAATGAAAGGTGTTCTGTTACTGAGCTTGAGTCATTGCTGCATTGCCACTACTGAACTGCTACTGGATGAAACAATTGCTGGGCTGGTCAACCAATCATGATGGTACTGACTCTGTTTCTGACTGATGTGCAACTTGGATGCATCATCAAAATCAAGGAACAGGAACCACTGTGAAACCAAAAGGATTGGTTCGTGATTGTGAGAATTTCAGAAAAGCCGAATGCCGCCTGAACAAACAGCATCACGATTCCAAAAGCCCACGCAAACGCTATTTCGAAACGCTAGAAAAACGCTAGAAAAACACTAAAACTCGAGGTTTTAGCGTTTTTCTAGCGTTTTTGGAGCAAATTACCTAGGACCCCGAGAAAAACGCTATTTCGAAACGCTAGAAAAACGCTAGAAAAATACTAAAACTCGAGGTTTTAGCGTTTTTCTAGCGTTTTTGGAGCAAATTACCTTAGGAACCCGAAAAGCGCTAGAAAAACGCTAGAAAAACACTAAAACTCGAGGTTTTAGCGTTTTTCTAGCGTTTTTGGAGCAAATTACCTTAGGAGCCCGAAAAACGCTAGAAAAACACTGAAAAAACGCTAAAAAAACACTAAAACTCGAGGTTTTAGCGTTTTTCTAGCGTTTTTCGGGTTCCTAAGGTAAATTTGCTCCAAAAACGCTAGAAAAACGCTAAAACCTCGAGTTTTAGTGTTTTTTTAGTGTTTTTTTAGCGTTTTTCTAGCCTTTTTAGCGCTCCTAAGGTAATTTGCTCCAAAAACGCTAGAAAAACGCTAAAACCTCGAGTTTTAGTGTTTTTTTAGCGTTTTTCTAGCGTTTTTCGGGCTCCTGACGTAATTTGCTCCAAAAACGCTAGAAAAACGCTAAAACCTCGAGTTTTAGTGTTTTTTTAGCGTTTTTCTAGCGTTTTTCGGGCTCCTAAGGTAATTTGCTCCAAAAACGCTAGAAAAACGCTAAAACCTCGAGTTTTAGTGTTTTTCTAGCGTTTTTTTTAGCGTTTTTCGTTTTTCGGGCTCCTAAGGTAATTTGCTCCAAAAACGCTAGAAAAACGCTAAAACCTCGAGTTTTAGTGTTTTTCTAGCGTTTTTCTAGCGTTTCGAAATAGCGTTTTTCTCGGGCTCCTAGGTAATTTGCTCCAAAAAGGCTAGAAAAACGCTAAAGCCTCGAGTTTTAGCGTTTTTCTAGCGTTTTTCTAGCGTTTCGAAATAGCGTTTCGAAATAGCATGTTTCCAAAAGGGTTCATGAAGTCTCTGATTTAGCTACTCTTTTTGGATCGCAGCAGGCCAAGCAACTTGTAGATTGTAAATTTGAGTTGTCTGGTTTCAGTTGGTGAAAGAAAATCTGTCTGTTCAACTTATTTTGGTATCTCTGTACCTGATTGATGGTGCTATTCCTCTATGTCTTAGTGGGTCCTGTTAGAGAGGAATGATATTTCCAAAGTATGTACAATGTAATATATACGATATATGATTCTGACAATACAATTTACATTATATTATATATAGTCACTATATATTATAACAATATTCATTGTTTGTCTTTCCGTTTGGTTTGCTTGCTTGATTTGATCGAAAACTTGAAATTGCTGTCGTGGATTTCGCCAAGCCGTTGAGAGCGAAAGATGTTGGTGTTGAGGGGTATCAGGGACTATATAGTAGTGACTAGTGACTAGTAGCTTAGGCTTCAAGCTAAAAGTGTTCAAGCAGTGGCTCCTCAAAGGAGATTCCACAAAAAGGACAGCATTCTTATGAAAAAAAAAGTGTCTCAAGCCATTCCGCAGTTGACAATTTTGCTGGTTACTTTTCCCCTGCCCACTCCCACTCTCCCACCTCCAGGAAACCCTCTTATACACCACTAATCTGAAACGCTCCAAAACCACTAGAAAAACACTAAAAAATAATATTGGGTCTGGCAGCTTTTGCCACATCCCGGAAGTCTTAAGACTAAACAAAACATCGCGGCATCGATATGTCAATATTCCATTCACCGTCCTTTCTTGAAGCCTTGCAACTGGACTTGACCGTTGGCCACATGTGAAAACAGCCTTCCATGGTTGAAATATGATGAAATGTTGTTTTGGGCTGAGCAGTTTTTAGTGACCGCCATAAGTGCGGAACTCCATTTTGGTGATGGGCTGCAGCTGCAGCAAAAACGATGCGTTGGAGCCGGGCCGTCCTGGGCTGCCAACATTGCTGGTGGCTGTGCCGAAACACAGCGAACCATCAGACCCCAAAGGAAAGAAGGACGCTGAGAAGGCTCAGGAGAAGGCTCAGAAGGCAGAGAGAGCTGTCGAAGTTTCATGCCATGCCTCTGCAGGTGCGAAGTGGCATTTGGAGCTGCTGGCTGTGAGCGCCGAGCTGAAACAAAAGCTGCAAGATCCTCAGTTCGTGGCGACCCGCTGCGACTTGGATGGCTCTGGTGATCTCGATGCACACGAGCTGAAGCAGGCGGCTCGGGTCTATGGCATCTCGCAGAGCAGCTCCGAAAACCACGACGGCACCAATCCTCGTCTCCTGGCTGGGCAACGCGTCAGCAAAGAAAGCTTCGCTGAAATGGTGGCCTCTCAACGAAGCACCAAGCTGATCAGAGCCTTTGATTCAAACACAGGTCAAAGTTTTGCTAGGAACATGTCCGCAGAATGCATTGACAATATCGACATGCATCTCAATTTTGGCCCAATTTCGATCGGCGATTTGTTAAACGCTTCTTTTTTATTTTTTAATTTTTGTTCAGCGGTTGTTTTCTGGATCCACTTCCGAATCAGCATGAATCTACAGCAACGCAAGGCATGAAGACATGCATGGGGGTTCGGAATGTTTGGATATGTTGGTACCCATGAAGCATGACTTCGCAGGCATTTCCAGGTCGTTTGATACATGTTGACGCACCGGAATCTGTAGAACGATGAACAGTGTAGAAATTACTTAGTCCGGAATTTGAAACCAATCTGAATCCAAACACTTGGCAGCACATCTTCGCTGAGTCAGGAGCAGTCCCGCACTCTTTGCGTGGAATGGCATTGGGCCAGCTTCAACATCTTGAAGCCTTGTTCGCCAGAACTGGATGGCTCTCTGCACGATGTGAATCCTTCAACGCAAAGAATGCCCATGCCATTGCCAATCGCACGAAGTTCAGACAAGATACCAATCTTTATGCCTTGGACACTTTTGTGGTGACTCCAATGTCGAAGCCAGGCATATGTGGAGCCCGTGAACATGATGAGCAGCAGACCATTGCCGAAGCACACGGAATTTCATCCTTTTCAGAACTGGTGAATCCATTCGCCTCTTTGTTCACTGCTTTGTCTCCCATTTTTGGGGACACAACTTCACAAGCACTGTCACGGCTCTTGATTTGTGGGCAGATGCGAACTACGACAAGCTGACTTCAGAGAAGGAGGCCTGGTTCAGGGTTCGTCTGTGCACGTCAAAAGTGGGTCGTTTGTGCACGTCAGACGGTTGGTCGTCTGTGCACGTTTTTGTTGTGTGATTTTGTCATTGTATCTCTGTAACATGATTCTTCTTCTAGCTTTTTTTAAACATCATCACACAACTCATCAAGTTATGTTTTTTTCCTCACATCTCTGTGTGGGGCTTTTGTTTTTAGGTTTGTATTCCTTGCCTTCTCCTCCTTCTCCTCCTGAGTTGCTTCTTTCTCTCTCAACTTCACCCAAGTTGTCTCACACAACTCACAGAAAGAGCATCCCACACAATCTCTACAGCAGAAAGATGATGAGGTTGCTGTGCGTAGGCATAGGAACATGAACCTTATTAACTCACCCCACCCCACCGGTAACTGATCATGAAAGAGCTGTGCCTGTCTCTTCCCAACGCAAGAAAGATGATGAGGTTGCTGTGCCTGTGTGTGCATAGGAACATGAACGTTATCATCCCACCCCACCCCACCCCACCCCCCCCACCCCACGGGTAACATCATGAAAGAGCAGTGCGTGTAAGGCTCTACAGCAAGAAAGATGATGAGGTTGCTGTGCGTGTGCAGGCATAGGAACATGAACCTTATTAACTCACCCCACCCCACCGGTAACTGATCATGAAAGAGCTGTGCCTGTCTCTTCCCAACAGCAAGAAAGATGATGAGGTTGCTGTGCCTGTGTGTGCATAGGAACATGAACGTTATCATCCCACCCCACCCCACCCCACCCCCCGCAACCAAACCCGAAATGGCTGGCTCCCAGCCTCAATGTGCGCGGATGACCGCTCTTTGTGCGCGGATGACGCGGTTTCTCTGTGCGCAGATGACTCGTTTGCAATGTGCGCAGATGACGCGTTGACCAGGAGGCCTTGGTCTTTTGGATATGCCTCTTTGCGTTGAACCAGCATGACTTGGCGGAGGAGGTGGGGGAAAATCCTCAGCAGGGGCCATTCAACGCAGCACTGGGCGCAAGCCACTGGTGGTGCAGTGATGGTTTTGGATGAAGAAGTAAAGCCGTTTTCACGCATCTGGTGCCTCTTCGAGGCTTCTCGGTTGAAGGACTTGCAGCGTCCCTTTGAACTGATTTGCAGTGAGGGTTCCTTGTCCCAGCCTGAGAACGGTGGACACAAGGCTGTGAGCACGAAGATGCTCGAAACCACATGCCAGGCCTTGTGGAACGTGCCCACTGCCAAGGCTGAAAGCTCAGTAGCCAAGGACAAGTCATTTTTCATGAGCTGTGGAGACTTCGTAAGGAGGTGGCTACTTGTCGCAGAGTGGCAGACTTTGAACCTTTGCAGTTTTCTGCTGCAGAACCATGTGAACGCAACAGCCGTTTGTATGAAGTATTGCAAAAATGGGGTTGGGAGCGACTCAGCAAGAGCCGTTTTCAAACTTCAATAGGAGTACTTGATTTGCTTTCCCACGGAGCAACTTGCGTTACAGCTGCTATGAAAGCCGCTTGGAGGCATCAGCTTTGGCTAAAAGAACCGCGTGCTGCAGAAATTGCACACACGGATGTGGAACCTGTCACATCCGTGCATGCTGCATGGATGAAGCAAGGCCCTGTACATGATCCCATGTCCTTTTCCACTGCGTGTGCTGCTGGCCATGCCGGCCGCAAATTGGCCAAAAGGTTTGACCTTGATCATGTTTTTTGCGTTTGTGGGGAATCATGGCCTTCATGCCGACATGTCACATGGCATTGTCCTGATACCAGCTTACCTGCACACAATTCACCGCCTGCCAATGGCGTTGAAGAAAGGTTGTTGGTTCGAAGTGTTGCCCCTGCACCCTGGCCTCCAGACAGGGTGCCAGAAGACATGCTTCCTCCAGTTGAAATTTGCAATACCTTCGCCTCGCAAGAGGTACAATTTGATGGCAGAATTTTGGTCGCCACGGATGGTAGCTCTCATTCTTGTCATTCGCTGAAGCGAGCCGCTTGGGGCATCGCAACAGAGAATCATGTTTTTGCTTTTCCAATGAAAGGTTGTGATCAGAATATTTTTGCTGCCGAGACCTGGGCAGTATTTCAAGCTTTGAATGCGGCGCATGTCACTGGTAGAAATGTGCGTATCTTGTGTGACTCACAAGCTGTTGTTTGCACAGCAGAGCGGGTCCGGCGTGGTGGGTCACTGCCGCCCTGGGCTTCTGGCATTTGGCAAGCCATTGCTTTTCTCAGTCCTGGAAGTGAGATTTCTTGGGTCCCAGCGCACGGCCGTTCCAAAGGCTGGGCGCCTCCAGCTGGACATTCAGCTGATGTGTGGCGAAATTACAATGATCGAGTTGATGCGGCAGTTCAGGCTGCTGCCAAACCTGGAATCGTTTCCTTGAGTGCTTGGGCTCGTGAAGTCCAAGATGCCATTGCATGGAGTAGTTTTGCGCGTGCAAGACAGAAACAAGCTTTGCTCGACTTGCGGAGTCATGTCGAGCCATCAGCCTCTGGCTAGCTGACTCGTCGAGTTCCTTAGAAATCTCTCGCGCTCTGGCGCCCCGAAAGCTGCCTCCAGCCACTCACCTCGGTGGGCCCAGGCTGTGGCAGCGTTACAATTGCCCAACAACAACAACAACAGTAAAGCCATTCTGCAGATACGTGGACTACGCCCTGATGTTCAAGTACATCTTCGTTTCTGCGGGGCCGTGTGCGACAGCGGCAGCGAAAAGTCCACAGCATTGTTTTTCTTTTAGCCATTCATCCTCTGAGTGTGTTGCTTATTCATGGAGTTTGGCAGCGAGGGTACGAAACAAAATTATCCATGCAACACATGGGAATGGGGGGGGAGGAGGGGCCAGGACCACCAGTCGCAAACGCTCAGAGAGAGAGCAAAGCATTGGGGGACCTAGTCTAAACGGAGACACTTTGTCTCAGATTTTGCAGCTGCTCAATTAATTTATTGCAATCACTGTTGTCGCATTTTGGAAAATTGAAACAGGACAATAGCAATGGTTTGAGCATCGCTGGATTGCTGTCAAGTTTTGCCCAGGGCCGTGTTTTTGATAGCAAGCCAAAGCCGAAAAAGCCGAAAGCAAAGCGAAAGAAGCCGAGACATGTCATCGCCCCACCTTCTTTCGCTAAGCAGAGTGATCCGAATGCAGCCAGAACCCCAAAAGAAAAAGAAAGCACTGGCAAGAAAAGCACTTTGCAGCAGAAGCCTGCAAAGAAACCGTCGCAACCGACCTCTGCTCCACGCACTTTTGCCGAAGTTGCCAAAGCTGCCACAGGTGATTTTGCTTTCCAGCCTGTTTGGCAGTTGCGAGCTGCAGATTGGGATGGTGAAATTTTGACTTTCGATGAGATCGCTGAACGTATGGGGGCTGATGAGAAGCCCATCAGAGTTGTCACCCTGATGTCCAGCGAATGTGAACTTGATGAGCTCAAGGCACTGATTCAAAGTGAGGCCAAGCCGGACCGCAAAATTGGAGTCACAGTTGTCATGGCCTCGACCAAAGGTGATGTCCCGAAGCCTGATGGGGAGATCACACAGGTTCCTGGGAAAGTGCGTGGAAAGCTTGTTCCACGCTTGTCGCACGTCCTCACTCTCGGGGTCGAATGTCCAAAGTTGAAGAAACAGGTTCGCACTGTCGCAACGGCACCTAGTGTTTCTCAGACGGTGGTTTTGAGATTGTCGACAGAAGCCAAGTATCATCAGGATCAGCACTGGCGTAGCATTGTTGATAACGCTGGGGGTGCTGCTCACAAATGGATTCATGCCAATGTCCCGGCTGCCATGCAGAGGCAGATTAGAGACATTTGGAAATGGCAACTGCAGTCCTCCAAAGGGGGGGGCAAGGCTCTGATCACTGCCCTCATGAGGGTTGAGCTCTCAGCTGCTAAGACTCTTTTGTCTTTGTCAGGTCAAGGAGCATGGTTTATCGAACCCTTACGTTGGGATCAGCCTGACATTCCAAGTTGTCAGGTACGCTGGGTGAAGCGACTACATGATGAGCCAGGTCATGTTTACGCCACAAGAGTTCTGAGCATGGTAGGCAATTTAGGTTTGGCCAAGGGCTTGAAAAGTCTTGGAGTCAGAGTTCCGCAGTCCACTGACAAGAAAAGTGCAACCAGAATCAAGACCTGGAAGGTCACAGGAGTCCCAAGGAGCTGGGGCCACGAAAGCCTCATTCCTGAGCTTGAGGCTGCTGGTTTGAGCAATTTACAACTTACGTCCAGAAAACCACATGGGCGAACGACGTGCCTTTTCTTCACTGCTGAGTGCACACAGGAGATTGATTTTATTGAGTTGGTTTTTGGCAGCACCACCGTTACAGCGTCTGCTTTCAACCCAATGAAATCGATGCGCAGTGAAATTCAACAGCTGAATACTGTTTCGACACTGTCCTTTTCGCCAGCCACTTACAATGTCGGTGGTTCTGCTGAGGTGAAGCCTGCGAGTCGCACTTCCTTTTATGCTGCCTCTCCGGTTAAGGTCGTGCCAAAAGCTGCAGCGCCATCTTTGCCTGATGCGGCATCTGCAACTGCACCAGCAAAGGAGACGCCATCTGCATCAGCCCCCGCTACCGTGGAGGCTTCGCAACAAGATGCTCCTGGTGATGCCGACATGGGATCGCCGTCAAAAACAGCCACCAAGAGAACTGTGGGAACGCCTGGGAAGGATGTCAAGCCACCTCAGGCAAAGAAAAGAGCAATTGTGAGAGATGTTCCCAAAGGTCTTGTCAGAGTCCCGAACTCGGGACAAGGCAATTGTCTGTTTGAAGCCATCGCACAGGGCTTGAGCCAAGACAGGCCAAAGCCTGAGCGCAGCATCCGAGCCTCTGTCATTGCCCACTTGAAACGCCATGCCGACAGGTATCGACCTTGGTGGGATAATTTGACACCGAATGAAGAGATCTGTGACTCCTGGGAGGAGTACCTGACGTTAGTTGGTAAAAGTGGAGCCTATGCAGGGTGCCTAGAGCTGGCGGCTGCCGCCGCCCACTTCGACCGCACCATTTTTGTCTTTTGTCCTTTCCTTCCTGAGCCTGAAGCTTACAATCAGTCCAGCACAAAAGGATACATATGCCTTTGGTTTCAAGACAAGCACTATGAGTGTTTGAAGGGTGAGCTGAACCCTGCTCTGAGAGCCAATGCCGCCAATGGCCCCATGCAAGGTGGGCGCGGGGGTGGCAAGTCAGTGAGCTCTGCTCAGTCAGCGTCGGGAGCCACCAGGAGTTCTGCTATGCCGCCCCGGCAAGGATCCCGCGCTGCCAGTAGCAGTGGAGCGCTAACAAGGTTGTCAGCACTGCCACCCATGCCGCCTAATGGACCTGAGCGCAAAAGAGCTTGCTCGGCCGCCACGGCTGCCACCAACAAGTCACGTCGCCGTGACTCTTGCGACTTCCCAAGTGACAAGATCAGCCTCAGTGCAGGGGCTGCCGAACATGGGGAAGATGATGGCTGTGAGCCTCAGCCTGCTGAGGCAGCAGCGCGTGTGAAGAGACAAGACTGGACTTGCCCAATTTGTGGATTCTGGACGGGTGCAAAGAAGCATTGGCCGAGTGTGAAGAAGGATCACATTCGCAATTGGCACCCGGAGCTAGCCAGTCAGCTCAGCCTGAACCCTCGATTGCCGAAACTCATCCCTTACAACAAGGACACTTGCAGCTGGAAATGCCCTTTTTGTGATCTTGGCACCCCCAGCGAGATCAAGAACTGTGATTCGCTCAGAAAGATGCGTTTGGACCATGCTAAAGCCATGCACCCTAAAGCGTCTCCGAAGCGTTTTCTCTTGAAACGTGGAAGCGCTCGCAATGCGCAAAAGGCGACTTTGGCCAAGACTTCTGCAGGAAATGCCAAGAAGTTTCTTGATTTGAAGTGCGGTAAGCAGGGACTTCATGACTGCGAAATTCTGCAGATGCCTTACACAGGCAAAGGAAAGCAGCGTAGGGTCTTCCTGAACAAGATCTTTTGCAAAGTTTGTACTGCTCTGTCGCACAATGCAGAAGCCATGTCAAAGCTCCCATGCGAAAGAACCAACAAAGGAGGACCCAAACGGGCTATGCTGCTTGCCCGCCTGAAGAAGATGCGTGTCCGTTTTTCGCCTGGCAGTGTTGATCGACAGGCGCTGGAAGATGTCATCCAGAAACTGCAACCTGCGAGCCTGGCTTCCGAGGTTGCTACTGGCAACCATGACACTGTTTCACTACAGTTGCCCGGCAAGCCACCCAAACCATTTGTATTTTGCAAGATATGTCGACGGGTTGCCAACCTTCGTGGCACCATTCTGAAAGCAGCATGCAAGGGCACTGTCACTTGGAGCCCAGCGCGTATGAAGTTGGTGAGGTTCATTGAGGCACAGATGAAGCGAGCCAAAGGAAACCGTTTGCAGACATTTAGTGAGCTCCTCAAGTTGCTCACAGGGAAAGCGGCGTCAGGCTCCCAGCCATGACGCAATCTAGCCACAGCATGCCTGAGGGCAGCCTGCCCTCTGGTCAAGGTGCCCTCAAGATTGGTACCTTGAATGTTCGCGCCCTCCAAGGGAAAATGGCTGAAGTGATGAGTTTAGCCAACGATCATTCTCTGGATATCTTGTGTTTGCAAGAGGTTCGCCTGTCTGAGGATAACATGTTGTCAGCTCACCATGCTGCCAAGCGAGGTGGCTGGACCTTTTTGCCCGGACCTTGTGCAATCGATTCGCAAGGGGCACCAACTGCAGGTGTTGCAGTGCTGAGCCGATGGCCGGTTGAAAAGAAAGCTTTGCCTTTAGATGTTGACAGTGAGCTGCTGCACCACAGAGGGCGATGGCAAGTTTTGCAAGTGCAACGTCCGGCTAATAGGCCTTTTGTGATGGTCAACCTTTACCTGCACGCTTCGGATAGGTCCTGTGCTTGCCGTTTAGGTCACTTACTCTTTGAACTTGTTGCAAAAATGGGTGAGGATTGCTTATTCATAGGTGATTGGAACAATGTGCCAGATGAGGAACCTGCGCTCTCTCCACTGCGAGGGGGGCGGCTCCATTTGGCTGATGATATTGCTGGGCCTCTGCAGCTTCAGGCGCCCACGCGCACTGGGGGTAGGCACATAGATTATGCGGTGCATTCCATTCGGTTAGTTCCCACAGAGCGGTGTCAGGTCCCAGGGGTTGCTGATCACGACCTGGTGTTTTATTCTTTTCCTTGCCTTGCAGAGGAAGCCTATTTTCGAACACAACCTGCAAGGGCCTTGCTAGCCAGTGAGCCTATTTCGGATGAAGTTTGGAACAGTAATTTTGATTTGCCTCTTTTTCACGTTCTGTTAGAACAAAGACAGGTTGAAGAAGCCTGGGTTTTGCTGAGCAATGCAGCTGAAACATGCCTGCAGGCCAAGCCTGGGCGCAAACGCAGCTCTGTGCCAGCTCCTACGCAAGTGCCGCGGGCTCCTGTCAAGCCTCAAGCCTTACAATCCACCTTGGAACGCAGACTGCGCAGAACCCACAGGCGGGTCATGGAGTTGCAGAGGCCTGTCTGGCCCTGGACTCTGCTTAACAAAGTCCGTGGGCAGATCCACAAATTGACTAAAGCTTTCCCTGAGCTCAGTGAATTTGATGCTTTGTCTCCTGAAATTGCTGATGTCCTTCTTCAGTGCATTCAGCGTGAGAGTGAAGCTTCCTCTGATAGAAGGTTAGCGCGATGGAAAAGTGACATGACAGAAAACGAAAGGGCCCTCATCCGTTGGGTCAAGGGTGCTGATAAATTAGCCGCGCCGTCTGGCCAAGATTCCGTGCCGGTGCATCCGCAGCTCAAAGCTGAACATTTTAGCCGCCAATGGCAGGCAATCTGGTGCCCTCATGATAACGTCGACCCAGCAGGGATTTTGCCTCTTTTATCATGGATACCTGCTCAGGGGTATGCTTGTCCGGAACCAAGTTTTTCAGATGGAATTTTTGCAAGGCTTGCAAAGCAGGCGGCTGGTAAAGCACCAGGGCCTGATGGATGGAGAGCTGACCAGTGGATTTTGCTTCCTGGTGGTTTTTATTCTGCTTTGTCCTTGTTGTGGCGCAAGATATTGGATGTTGGTATTTTGCCTCCTCAATGGCACAGGTCCGATGCGTTCTCATCCCCAAAGATGTTGGCTTTAGGCCTATCAGTGTTGCTTGTTTAGCATGGCGCGTTGGGATCAGCGCTTTGTTGCAACAATTGTCGCCTTGGATCGACCAGTGGGCACCGTCTGCACTAGTGGGTGGGTTGAAGGCGAGAAGTTCAGTCACCGTGCATGATGATCTTCACAGTGCTCTGCAAGAGCGCACTCTGTATGGCGCTAAGATCGATGTGGCCAAGTGTTTCGACCACGTGAACATCGAACAAGCTTTGCTGGTATGGGAAAGACTTGGCGCCCCTGCCAAGGTTGTACGGATTTTGAGATGCTTTTACCGCATGCAAGTCAAAACTTTTGAGTGGCAAGGTTTTTGCAGCCGCGACAGCATTAGGTGTACGCGTGGCATCTTGCAAGGATGTCCAAGTAGTTGCGGCCTACTCGCAGGCCTTATGGCTGTCTGGTGCAGGTATGTGCAACAGCAATCACCTAGAGTGCAACTTTCAGTGTACATTGATGACAGGACTCTGTGGTGCCATGAGCGGCAACCGCTGCAAACCGCTTTAGATGCATCGCAACATGTTGACGAGGTGTTAGGCCTTCGATTGAATCCTTCCAAATGTGAACTTTTCTTCAAATGCCGCGGAGCACAATTGCAAGCTTTCCAATCCTGGAATATCGCATGCAACAGGAAGTGGAAAATGTCTGCTCAGTTCAAGTTGTTGGGGGTGCATTATTTCTCGACGAAAGCACGCCGAAGACCAATTGAGCCAACAGTTGTTGCGAAAGTGCAGGCACGCTTGAGACGACTCCGCACGGCCACTCACAAGTATTGGTGCAAACGACGCTTGGTGAGATCGCTTGTCCTTTCTTTGTTTTCGCATACGGGTGCTTGGACCACCATTCCGAAAAAGACCTTGCAAAAGTGGAGGTATGCCATTGAGACCACCATGTTGGGATACCCTCAATCTGGAAGATCCAGATATCTGCTTTGGACCTCTTTTTTGGCTCCGGAACTTGACCCTGAATTTGCCTTGGATTCCAAAGTCATTTTTCATGAGCTGTGGCGACTTCGTAAGGAGGTGGCTACTTGTCGTAGAGTGGCAGACTTTGAACCTTTGCAGTTTTCTGCTGTAGAACCATGTGAACGCAACAGCCGTTTGTATGAAGTATTGCAAAAATGGGGTTGGGAGCGACTCAGCAAGAGCCGTTTTCAAACTTCAATAGGAGTACTTGATTTGCTTTCCCACGGAGCAACTTGCGTTACAGCTGCTATGAAAGCCGCTTGGAGGCATCAGCTTTGGCTAAAAGAACCGCGTGCTGCAGAAATTGCACACACGGATGTGGAACCTGTCACATCCGTGCATGCTGCATGGATGAAGCAAGGCCCTGTACATGATCCCATGTCCTTTTCCACTGCGTGTGCTGCTGGCCATGCCGGCCGCAAATTGGCCAAAAGGTTTGACCTTGATCATGTTTCTTGCGTTTGTGGGGAATCATGGCCTTCATGCCGACATGTCACATGGCATTGTCCTGATACCAGCTTACCTGCACACAATTCACCGCCTGCCAATGGCGTTGAAGAAAGGTTGTTGGTTCGAAGTGTTGCCCCTGCACCCTGGCCTCCAGACAGGGTGCCAGAAGACATGCTTCCTCCAGTTGAAGTTTGCAATACCTTCGCCTCGCAAGAGGTACAATTTGATGGCAGAATTTTGGTCGCCACGGATGGTAGCTCTCATTCTTGTCATTCGCTGAAGCGAGCCGCTTGGGGCATCGCAACAGAGAATCATGTTTTTGCTTTTCCAATGAAAGGTTGTGATCAGAATATTTTTGCTGCCGAGACCTGGGCAGTATTTCAAGCTTTGAATGCGGCGCATGTCACTAGTAGAAATGTGCGTATCTTGTGTGACTCACAAGCTGTTGTTTGCACAGCAGAGCGGGTCCGGCGTGGTGGGTCACTGCCGCCCTGGGCTTCTGGCATTTGGCAAGCCATTGCTTTTCTCAGTCCTGGAAGTGAGATTTCTTGGGTCCCAGCGCACGGCCGTTCCAAAGGCTGGGCGCCTCCAGCTGGGCATTCAGCTGATGTGTGGCGAAATTACAATGATCGAGTTGATGCGGCAGTTCAGGCTGCTGCCAAACCTGGAATCGTTTCCTTGAGTGCTTGGGCTCGTGAAGTCCAAGATGCCATTGCATGGAGTAGTTTTGCGCTTGCAAGACAGAAACAAGCTTTGCTCGACTTGCGGAGTCATGTCGAGCCATCAGCCTCTGGCTAGCTGACTCGTCGAGTTCCTTAGAAATATCTCGCGCTCTGGCGCCCCGAAAGCTGCCTCCAGCCACTCACCCCGGTGGGCCCAGGCTGTGGCAGCGTTACAATTGCCCAACAACAACAACAACAAGTAAAGCCATTCTCTCGCATCTGGTGCCTCTTCGAGGCTTCTCGGTTGAAGGACTTGCAGCGTCCATTTGAACTGATTTGCAGTGAGGGTTCCTTGTCCCAGCCTGAGAATGGTGGACACAAGGCTGTGAGCGCCAAGATGCTGGAAACAACATGCCAGGCCTTGTGGAACGTGTCCACTGCCAAGGCTGAAAGCTCAGTAGCCACGGACAAATACCAGATTTGGGGAGAAACGGCCAACGAATCCATCAGGGGTATGATACAGGGAGTGGGTGCCGAACGTTGGTTCAATGTTTACATAGATGGCCAAGGGGCCGATGCGTTGGGAGAAGCCTTCAGCGACTTTGATCGCTACATGAAGTCTCTACTCTCCACTACGGTGCTTCAGCTCCTGATGGCTAGGGGCGACTATGCATCGGCGGCCACGTGCTGCCTTCAAGGAGCAGATGTTAGTTCTGAGCAGCTGGCAGAGATTTGCGGCAGTTTTGCTGCAGCAACTGAGAGAAGAGCATGGCTGAACAGTATGCTGCTGCAAGCATCGAATCCATCCATGGCCAAACTGCTTTTGGAGAAGGGTGCTGATGCGAGGGCAGCCAGGCACGATGGTGTCACACCGCTGATGTATGTTGCTCGCGGTGGCCATGAGGCCATGGCCCGGCTGTTGCTACAGCACGGTGCCGATGTGACGGCAGCAAAGGACAATGGTTCCACAGCATTGATGTCGGCTGCTCTAGGTGGCCATGAGGCCGTGGCCCAGCTGCTGCTACAGCACGGTGCCGATGTGGCAGCAGCAAGGGACAATGGTGTCACAGCACTGATGTGTGCTGCTCTAGGTGGCCATGAGGCCGTGGCCCATCTGTTGCTACAGCACGGTGCCGATGTGGCGGCAGCAGAAGACAATGGCGGCACAGCACTGATGTGTGCTGCTGCAGGTGGCCATGTGGCCGTGGCCCAGCTGCTGCTACAGCACGGTGCCGATGTGGCAGCACCAAGCAACGATGGTTCCACAGCATTGATGTTGGCTGCTCTAGGTGGCCATGAGGCCGTGGCCCAGCTGCTGCTACAGCACGGTGCCGATGTGGCGGCAGCAAAAGACGATTGTCACACTGCATTGATGTGTGCTGCTCAGGTGGCCATGAGGCCGTGGCCCAGCTGTTGCTACAGCACGGTGCCGATGTGGCGGCAGCAGAAGACGATGGTTTCACAGCACTGGTGTATGCTGCTCAAGGTGGCCATGAGGCCGTGGCCAAGGTGCTGCTACAGCACGGTGCCGATGTGGCGGCAGCAAGCAACGATGGTTTCACAGCACTGATGTTGGCTGCTCTAGGTGGCCATGAGGCCATGGCCCAGCTGCTGCTACAGCACTGTGCCGATGTGGCGGCAGCAAAGGACAATGGTTCCACAGCATTGATGTTGGCTGCTCTAGGTGGCCATGAGGCCGTGGCCCAGCTGCTGCTACAGCACGGTGCCGATGTGGCGGCAGCAAAGGACAATGGTTCCACAGCATTGATGTTGGCTGCTCAAGATGGCCATGGGGCCGTGGTCCAGCTGTTGCTACAGCATGGTGCCGATGTGGCGGCAGCAAAGGACAATGGTTCCACAGCACTGATGTATGCTGCTCAAGGTGGCCATGAGGCCGTGGCCCAGCTGTTGCTACAGCACGGTGCCGATGTGGCGGCAGCAAGCAACGATGGTTCCACTGCATTGATGTGGGCTGCTGAAGGTGGCCATGAGGCCGTGGCCGAGGTGCTGCTACAGCACGGTGCCGATGTAAGGGCAGCAACGATGGTGTCACAGCACTGATGATTGCTAGGGCAAACCGTCATGAGGCTGTGGCTAGGCTCCTCAGGGAGCATGGTGGTGATCAGAATTGGTTTCGGCGCTGGCTTTTTGGATAGCCGCTGCGGGCATCGAGTTTAGCCATATCGTAGACCACAGAGAAAACGATGCTGTGCAACGAGTGTGCTGCCAACTTGCGTGATGGAAGTTGGGAAGTCCTGATGAGTTCGTTTGTTCCCCACCTGCCAGGTGAGGGTTGTTAGATTTTATGTCAGTTGCCTGGTCCTCCTCCTCCTCCTCTCATCTCCTCCTCCTCTCGTTGTCCTCCTCCTCTCGTTGTCCTCCTCGTCCTCCTGCTCAACTGCGACTCGCGATCCACAGTGTTCTCTGTCGGACCTCAACCACGACCATCCACGCCCAGTGTTCCCTGCCGGACCTCAACCACGACCATCCACGCCCAGTGTTCCCTGCCGGACCTCAACCACGACCATCCACGCCCAGTGTTCCCTGCCGGACCTCAACCGCGGGTATCCCCGCCCAGTGTTCCCTGCCGGACCTCAACCACGACCATCCACGCCCAGTGTTCCCTGCCGGACCTCAACCGCGAGTATCCACGCCAAGTGTTCCCTGCCGGACCTCATGCAGGAAGATATGCCAGATAGAATGCCAGAAGGTATGCCAGATAGAATGTCAGATAGAATGCCAGAAGGTATGCCAGATAAAGTGCCAGAATGATTGCCACAACATATGCCAGAAGATTTGCCACATAGAATGCCAGATAGAATGTCAGAAGATATGCCAGAAGATATGCCAGATATAGAGTGCCAGAAGATATGCCAGAACATATGCCAGAAGATATGCCAGGTAGAATGCCAGAAGGTGTGCCAGATAGAATGCCAGAAGATATGCCAGATAAAATGGCAGAAGATATGTCAGATAGAATGTCAGATAGAATGCCAGAAGGTATGCCAGATAAAGTGCCAGAATGATTGCCAGAACATGTGCCAGAAGATTTGCCAGATAGAATGCCAGATAGAATGTCAGAAGATATGCCAGAAGATATGCCAGATAAAGTGCCAGAAGATATGCCAGGTAGAATGCCAGAAGATATGCCAGATTCAATGCCAGAAGATATGCCAGATAAACTGCCAGAAGATATGTCAGACAGAATGCCAGAAGATTTTCCAGTAACAAAACGTATAGATGTCATGGTGGGGATAACTCGAAGTAAAGTAATTTTTGTTTTTAGGCAGGATCACGTTTGTGATGACTTACGCAGAATGGTCAGAGTCCCATCGGTCAAAAGCTTTGCATGATCAAAGATCTTCAGGCAGTTTTTCACAGGCTCAATCGATCCGTGAATGTCAGACTGACACCGTCTCAGCAACAAAACACCGTCGCAACCGATGAATCCTCAGCAACAAATTGTTTTGCCCAGGCTGAAGCGCAAAGCGTGGAGGACTAGGTCTACTTCAGCCGACGGTGGGCGTCGCTTGGGCGCATGATATGGTGTCATCTTTGTGTTGCTGGTTATATTGTTGGCTTTAATGATTCTCGATGTTTGTTCAGACTATTTGTTGGGCGCATCAACCAGCATTTCGAGAACTTGACTCAGGACTGTGCTTGTCAAACTTCCATGTTTTTTTGTTAGCTCCGCCCTGGGAAAAACAAGACATGCTCGGTCTTCCGGAAATTTTCAACTTCAACTTGAGCTCCTTGGACCCACAGTTCACCTTCCAGGTGAGTTGCGTGCCCAGCCGTGGAAGAGGCTGCAGTCGGTTTGGAACATGGGGTTGTTGGTCGAAAACTGGGCCGTGGAACACCTTGTTATGGCGTTTGGTGTCTTCATCGGTTTTTGACCACATTTTCCAATCATCAAATTTTGTGTCCAAGTTTCAGACCATGCCAAAATCACACATCTCATGGCCAGAGATGAACATTCACGGGAAGCACCATTAGCTTTGACCCATGAAGTCATGAGTTGAAACATTTCGATCGTCAATCCAACCGGCATCGGGTCACCTGGGGATGTGAGCAACGCTCTTGGGATCTTTTCGGGAGGAACAAGAGGAACATCGACAAACATGGATGTACCGAGACAATTCCACCACCAACAGATCACTCGGAGACAAGCAGAGGCTACCAACACTTAACCACACTGATGCATGAACTGATTCAAGGTGTCATCGCTGTTCACCTGGCTCCAAATCTTAAACCACACTCCCCAAATATGGTTCCAACAACCGGCATTGCGAGGCTGAACCGGAGCCTTGGAGTGGCCAAGGTCGGCGCGATGTGAGAAAGAGATTGATATTTGATGGGAGTATGAAAATCAACGAAGTTCGGAGTACCAGACACTTTGCATCTCCAGTACTAAACCATCCAATGACTTGGGGTTTTGTATTGATTCAAGAAACACCCATAATCATATATTGTCAATGAGTCAAAACATGTCACTTTTCGAAGTGGTCTGCGATGTCTCTTCTATAGTAATCTTTGGTCCTGCACCAAACTCAAGGTTTTCTGGTCAGCATTTTGGGATGGAAGGACTTATGCATCTCTTTATGGCATGTCACATTGCCATACCACCATCCACTTGAGATAATAGAGCTTGATGTACCATGAGCATTCGGGCGGCAGACCGCAGGGAGGCATTGGTGCTGCGGCACACTTTGAAAGTTCGGAGGCACGGTTGATGTGGATTGACTGCAGCTGATGGTCAGTAAGCCGATTTTACCTCCTTATCACCGGGTCGTGAACTGATTGAACGGATCGAATCCCAGCGAAACATAACTTTCTAACTCCGTTTCTTGCAACTTCAGGAAGAAAGTCAAATGATGTTCCCTGCATGGCCAGGCCCAGTGCAATCATTGTATTCTATGTCTTTATACTTCACAAGTACTTTGCACATGCCTGCGCTATGAGTGTTCCGGATCCCTTGCATCACAAGGTCCTTGAAGCTCATTGCGCGACAGTGAAGACGCGGTGCTGACCTCAGATTACCACGGGAAACAGGTGCCATGTGACAGGTGGATGTAGAAAATCGCAATGTTGTGTGGTTGGAAAGCCATCAAAGGGAACCACGACCCAGCAGTTTGTTAGAATAAACCATGGATTAACAAAAATTGACAGGCAGTGATTGTAACAATTGTTGATGCCTTGACTTTGACATAGCATCGGTAGAAACCAGCATTGCATGACATCTTTCTGCAAGATTTGACCTGGAAGATATTCCTCTTGACATTGCATTGGCATTTTGGCTATAGGTCGACCTATATATTACTATAGTATCCTACAGTAAGGTGTGGGTCGTATGCTCAGTACTGTGTGTGATATGTTCTTAAAACCAATGCGACGCAAAAATTCAGCCTTGGAAGAGCAGAAGAGACATTGTTTATCGTTGTGTTGGATTGATCCTGCTTAAAACAAGCTCCCGTGGAATCCAGTGAATGAGCTGTTTCCAGATGATGTTTGCAACCGACATGGTGAATTTGTGCTGCCGTCAGTGTTTCCAATCAGGTCTCCCATTCGAGCCTCATATTTTGAAAGGGGTTGAAGAATGTCAAGATATTGGGTCGTGAACGGATTTAATCCCAGTGAAACATATATATAAGTTATAACGCAGTCTCTTGCAACTTCAGGCATCCCAGTGCGATGTCAAACTTTCAGCCAGGACCCCAGGACCTCTTTGCCGAAGTGGAGCTAGCAGAAGCGATGTAAGTCTTCTGACTGTTTCGTTTCAGATTGTTGTTTTCTTTGCACAATTTCGTTCTTGCAAATCCCTTCTTTGTACCTTGAGATCCGTTTTTTCCTTGACATGTCAGTCTTAGTTCAGCCCCGAACCAACCGAAACTCCAAGGCATCTCTTCCCCGGCTGATGGTGGGCAGGAAGTGGAAACTGCTGCAGCTCGCTGCAAGGCGATGCCTTGCCAGAGAAGTGAGATACCCAAGTTTCTGTTGAAATCTGCGTCTTGAAGTCCCAGTTTTTTTGGGAATAAACAAAACATCGCGGCATCGATATATGTCAATATTCCATTCACCGTCCTTTATTGAACCGCTTCCTTGAAGTGAGCTTGATGTGCGTTTGTTTCATCTGTTTGACCGTTTCAACCTTGCAACTTGACTTGATCGTTTGCATGTGAAAACAGCCTTCCATGGTTGAAACATGTTGAAATGTTGTTTTGGGCTAAGCAGTTTTGAGAGACCGCCATAAGTGCGGAACGCCATTTTGGTGATGGGCTGCAGCTGCAGCAAAAACGATGCGTTGGAGCCGCGCCGTCCTGGGCTGCCAACATTGTTGGGGGCTGTGCCGAAACACAGCGAACCATCAGACCCCAAAGGAGAGAAGGATGTTGAGAAGGCTCAGGAGAAGGCTCAGAAAGCAGAGAGAGTTGACGATGTTGAAGTTTCGTGCCATGCCTCTGCAGGTGCGAAGTGGCATTTGGAGCTGCTGGCTGTGAGCGCCGAACTGAAACAAAAGCTGCAAGATCCTCAGTTCGTGGCGACCCGCTGCGACTTGGATGGCTCTGGTGATCTCGATGCACACGAGCTGAAGCAGGCGGCTCGGGTCTATGGCATCTCGCAGAGTGGCAGCTCACAAACCCACGACGGCACCAATCCTCGTCTCATGGCTGGGCAACGCGTCAGCAAAGAGAGCTTCGCTGAAATGGTGGCCTCTCAACGAAGCACCAAGCTGATCAGAGCCTTTGATTCAAACACGGTCAAAGTTTTGCTAGGTGGAACATGTCCGCAGAATGCATTGATATGCATCTCAATTTTGGACCAATTTCGATCGGCGATTTGTTAAACGCTTCTTTTTTTTGAAAAAACACAAAACATGAAGACATGAATGAGGTTTCGGAATGATTGGACATCTTGGGAACTTTGAAGCGTGACTTTGCAGGCATTTCCAGGTCGTTTGATACATGTTGACGCACCGGAACCTGTAGAACGATGAACGTTGCACAAATTACTTGGTCCGGAATTTGAAACCAATCTGAATCCAAACACTTGGCAGCACATCTTCGCTGAGTCAGGAGCAGTCCCGCACTCCTTGCGTGGAATGGCATTGGGCCAGCTTCAACATCTTGAAGCCTTGTTCGTCACAACCGGGTGGCTATCTGCGCGATGTGAATCCTTCAACGCAGAGAATGCCCATGCCATTGCCAATCGCACGAAGTTCAGACAAAACACCAATCTTTATGCCTTGGACACCTTTGTGGTGACTCCAATGTCGAAGCCAGGCATGTGCGGAGCCCGTGAACATGATGAGCAGCAGACCATTGCCGAAGCACACGGAATTTCATCCTTTTCACAACTGGTGAATCCATTCGGCCTCTTTGTTCACTGCTTTGTCTCCCATTTTTGGGGACACAACTGGACCAGCACTGTCACGGCTCTTGATTTGTGGGCAGATTCGAACTACGACAAGCTGACCTCGGAGAAGGAGGCCTTGGTCTACTGGATATGCCTCTTTGCGTTGAACCAGCACGACGTGGCAGAGGAGGTGGGGGAAAATCCTCAGCAGGGGCCATTCAACGCAGCACTGGCGCAAGCCACTGGTGGTGCAGTGATGGTTTTGGATGAAGAAGTGAAACCGCGCCCCTGCCAAGGTTGTACGGATTTTGAGATGCTTTTACCGCATGCAAGTCAAAACTTTTGAGTGGCAAGGTTTTTGCAGCCGCGACAGCATTAGGTGTACGCGTGGCATCTTGCAAGGATGTCCAAGTAGTTGCGGCCTACTCGCAGGCCTTATGGCTGTCTGGTGCAGGTATGTGCAACAGCAATCACCTAGAGTGCAACTTTCAGTGTACATTGATGACAGGACTCTGTGGTGCCATGAGCGGCAACCGCTGCAAACCGCTTTAGATGCATCGCAACATGTTGACGAGGTGTTAGGCCTTCGGTTGAATCCTTCCAAATGTGAACTTTTCTTCAAATGCCGCGGAGCACAAGTGCAAGCTTTCCAATCCTGGAATATAGCATGCAACAGGAAGTGGAAAATGTCTGCTCAGTTCAAGTTGTTGGGGGTGCATTATTTCTCGACGAAAGCACGCCGAAGACCAATTGAGCCAACAGTTGTTGCGAAAGTGCAGGCACGCTTGAGACGACTCCGCACGGCCACTCACAAGTATTGGTGCAAACGACGCTTGGTGAGATCGCTTGTCCTTTCTTTGTTTTCGCATACGGGTGCTTGGACCACCATTCCGAAAAAGACCTTGCAAAAGTGGAGGTATGCCATTGAGACCACCATGTTGGGATACCCTCAATCTGGAAGATCCAGATATCTGCTTTGGACCTCTTTTTTGGCTCCGGAACTTGACCCTGAATTTGCCTTGGATTCCAAAGTCATTTTTCATGAGCTGTGGAGACTTCGTAAGGAGGTGGCTACTTGTCGCAGAGTGGCAGACTTTGAACCTTTGCAGTTTTCTGCTGCAGAACCATGTGAACGCAACAGCCGTTTGTATGAAGTATTGCAAAAATGGGGTTGGGAGCGACTCAGCAAGAGCCGTTTTCAAACTTCAATAGGAGTACTTGATTTGCTTTCCCACGGAGCAACTTGCGTTACAGCTGCTATGAAAGCCGCTTGGAGGCATCAGCTTTGGCTAAAAGAACCGCGTGCTGCAGAAATTGCACACACGGATGTGGAACCTGTCACATCCGTGCATGCTGCATGGATGAAGCAAGGCCCTGTACATGATCCCATGTCCTTTTCCACTGCGTGTGCTGCTGGCCATGCCGGCCGCAAATTGGCCAAAAGGTTTGACCTTGATCATGTTTCTTGCGTTTGTGGGGAATCATGGCCTTCATGCCGACATGTCACATGGCATTGTCCTGATACCAGCTTACCTGCACACAATTCACCGCCTGCCAATGGCGTTGAAGAAAGGTTGTTGGTTCGAAGTGTTGCCCCTGCACCCTGGCCTCCAGACAGGGTGCCAGAAGACATGCTTCCTCCAGTTGAAGTTTGCAATACCTTCGCCTCGCAAGAGGTACAATTTGATGGCAGAATTTTGGTCGCCACGGATGGTAGCTCTCATTCTTGTCATTCGCTGAAGCGAGCCGCTTGGGGCATCGCAACAGAGAATCATGTTTTTGCTTTTCCAATGAAAGGTTGTGATCAGAATATTTTTGCTGCCGAGACCTGGGCAGTATTTCAAGCTTTGAATGCGGCGCATGTCACTGGTAGAAATGTGCGTATCTTGTGTGACTCACAAGCTGTTGTTTGCACAGCAGAGCGGGTCCGGCGTGGTGGGTCACTGCCGCCCTGGGCTTCTGGCATTTGGCAAGCCATTGCTTTTCTCAGTCCTGGAAGTGAGATTTCTTGGGTCCCAGCGCACGGCCGTTCCAAAGGCTGGGCGCCTCCAGCTGGACATTCAGCTGATGTGTGGCGAAATTACAATGATCGAGTTGATGCGGCAGTTCAGGCTGCTGCCAAACCTGGAATCGTTTCCTTGAGTGCTTGGGCTCGTGAAGTCCAAGATGCCATTGCATGGAGTAGTTTTGCGCTTGCAAGACAGAAACAAGCTTTGCTCGACTTGCGGAGTCATGTCGAGCCATCAGCCTCTGGCTAGCTGACTCGTCGAGTTCCTTAGAAATCTCTCGCGCTCTGGCGCCCCGAAAGCTGCCTCCAGCCACTCACCTCGGTGGGCCCAGGCTGTGGCAGCGTTACAATTGCCCAACAACAACAACAACAGTGAAACCATTCTCGAGAATCTGGTGCCTCTTCGAGGCTTCTCGGTTGAAGGACTTGCAGCGTCCCCTTGAACTGATTTGCAGTGAGGGTTCCTTGTCCCAGCCTGAGAACGGCGGACACAAGGCTGTGAGCACGAAGATGCTGCAAGACACATGCCAGGCCTTGTGGAACGTGTCCACCGCCAAGGCTGAAAGCTCAGTAGCCAGGGACAAATACCAGATTTGGGGAGAAACGGCCCACGAATCCTTCAGGGGTTTCATCAAGGGATATGGTGCCGAACGGTTCTTCACAAATTTCATAGATCAGAATGGGGCCGATGCGGTGGCAGATGCCTTCATCGACTTTGATCGCTACATGAAGTCTCTACTCTCCACTACGGTGCTGAAGGTCCTGATGGCTAGGGGCGACTTTGCTTCGGCGGCCACGTGCTGCCTTCAAGGAGCAGATGTTAGTTCTGAGCAGCTGACAGAGATTTGCAGCAGCTTTGCTGCAGAAACTGAGAGAGAAGGCTGGTTGAACAGCATGCTGCTGCAGGCATCAAATCCATCCATGGCCAAGCTGCTTTTGGAGCAGGGTGCTGATGTGGCGGCAGCAAGCAACAATGGTGCCACAGCACTGATGTGTGCTGCTGGAGGTGGCCATGTGGCCGTGGCCCAGCTGTTGCTACAGCACGGTGCCGATGTGGCGGCAGCAATGAACGATGGTGACACAGCATTGATGTTGGCTGCTGTAGGTGGCCATGAGGCTGTGGCCCAGCTGCTGCTACAGCACGGTGCCGATGTGGCGGCAGCAAACAACGTTGGTTTCACAGCATTGATGTTGGCTGCTGTAGGTGGCCATGAGGCTGTGGCCCAGCTGCTGCTACAGCACGGTGCCGATGTGGCGGCAACAAAGAACGATGGTTTCACAGCATTGATGTTCGCTGCTCATGGTGGCCATGAGGCCGTGGCCAAGGTGCTGCTACAGCACGGTGCCGATGTGGCGGCAGCAAGCAACAGTGGTGTCACAGCACTGATGTGTGCTGCTCTAGGTGGCCATGAGGCCGTGGCCCAGCTCCTGCTACAGCACGGTGCCGATGCAAGGGCAGCATTACACAATGGCAGGACAGCACTGATGGTTGCTAGGGCAAACCGTCATGAGGCTGTGGCTAGGCTCCTCAGGGAGCATGGCGGTGATCAGAATTGGTTTCGGCGTTGGCTTTTTGGATAGCCGCTGCGGGCATCCAATTTATTAATATCGTAGAGAAAAGGATGCTGTGCAACGAGTGTGATGCAAACTTGCGTGATGGAAACTGTTGAGAATCCTGATGAGTTCATTTGTTTTTGTTTTTAGACAGAATCCAGGTTTGTGATGATTTGTGCAGAATGGTCAGAGTCCCATAGGTCAAAAGCTTTGCATGCCAAAAGATCTGCAGGCAGTTTTTCACAGGCTCAATCGATCCGTGAATGTCAGACACCGTCTCAGCAACAAAACACCGTCGCAACCGATGAATCCATAGTTTGCCCAGGCTGAAGCGCAAAGCTTGGAGGACTAGGTATACTTCACGCAATCGCAGACGGTGCGCGTTGCTTGGGCGCATGGTATGGTGTCATCTTTGTGTTGCTGGTTATATCTGGTTATTGTTGGCTTTAATGATTCCCGATGTTTGTTCAGACTATTTGTTGGGCGCGTCAACCGGCATTTCGAGAACTTGACTCTGAACTGTGCTTGTCAAACTTCCAGGTTTTTTTTGTTAGCTCCGCCCTGGGAAAAAACAAGACATGTCCGGTTTTCCGGAAATTTTCAAACTTCAACCTGAGCTCCGTGCACCCGCCCACAGTTCACCAGGGGAGTTGCGTGCCCAGGCGTGGAATAGGCTGCGGTCGGTTTGGAACATGGGGTTGATGATCTAGAACTGGGCCGTGGAACACCTTGTTATGGCCATTTGGTGTCTTCATCGGTTTTTCACCACATTTTTCAATCAAATTTAGAGTCCAAGTTTCAGACAAAGCCAAAATCACACATCTCATGGCCAGAGATGGACATTCACGGGAAGCACCATTAGCTTTGACCCATTTTGATCATCAATCCAACCGGCACCAGGGCACCCGAGGATGTCAGCAACTCTCTTGGATGTACCAAGACAATTCCACCAACAAACACCACTGATCACTTCGAGAAAAACAGAGGCTACACTTAGTCACACTGATGCATGAATTGATTCAACATCACTGTTCACCATTTTTTGGCTCAAAATCTTAAACCACACTCCCCAAAAAATGGTTCCAACACTGGCGTTGCGAGGCTGAACTGGAGCCTTGAGGAGTGGCCAAGGTCAGAGCGATATGAGTAGGAAGAATTGATATCTGATGGGAGTATGAAAATGGATTCAGTTCGGGGTACCAGGTATACTCATCATCTTCAGTACTAAACCATCCAATGACCTGGGGTTTTTGCATTGACTCAAGAAACACTCGTGTGTCAAAACATGTCAAAAGATGTCACTTGCCGAAGTGGTCTGCGATGTCTCTTCCATAATTGTAATCTTTGGTCCAGTGCCAAACTTTAGAAGTTTTTCGTCTATATGCATCTCTTTACAGCATGTCACATTGCCATACCATCCACTTGAGATCGTAGAGCTTGGCGTTGAGCATTCGGGCGGCAGACCGCGGGGAGGCGTTGGTGCTGCGGCAGATTTGCAAAATCGGAGGCTCGGTTGATGTGGATTGACTGCAGCTGATGGTCAGTAAGCAGATTTTGCCTTCTTATCACTGGGTCATGAACGGATTGAACGGATCTAATCCCAGTGACACATAACTTCCAAGTCCGTTTCTTGCAACCGACATGGTGAATTTGTGCTACCATCATTGTTTCCAATCAAGCCTCCCATTTGAGCCTCATAGTCAGTAAGCGGACTTTACCTCCTTGCAACGGATTGAACGGATCTAATCGCAGTGAAACACATACGTGTAACTCAGTCTCTTGCAACTTCAGGCATCAGAGTGCGATGTGAAACTTTCAGCAAGGACCCCAGGACCTCTTTGCAGAAGTGGAGCCAGCAGAAGCGATGTAGGTTTTCTGGTTGTTTCGCTCTGCTTTGACCCATGAAGTCATGAGTTGAAACACTTCGATCGTCAATCCAACCGGCATCCGGCCACCTGGGGATGTGAGCACGCTTTCGGGATCTTTGCGGTATAGGATCAAAAGGAACATCGACAACTGCTGGATGTAACGGGACTATTCCACCAAACACCAACTGAGACTACACTTACTTGCCCTGACGCATGAATTGATTCGAGATGTCATCACTGTTCACCAGGCTCAATCTTAAACCACACTCCCCAAACATGTTTCCAACACCGGCGTTGCGAGGCTGAACTGGAGCCTTGAGGAGTGGCCAAGGTCAGAGCGATATGAGTAGGAAGAATTGGTATCTGATGGGAGTATGAAAATGGATTAAGTTCAGGGTACCCGGTACTACTTAGAATCTTTGGTTTGCTAAACCATCCAATGACCTGGAGTGTTTTGCATTGACTCAAGAAACACCCCTATGTCAAAGCACGTCAAAAGATGTCACTTGTCGAAGTGGTCCAGCACCAAATGTAGAGGTTTTTCGCCAGCATGTTGGGATTGGAGGACCTATGCAACTCTCTCCGGTATGTCACATTGCCATACCATCCACTTGAGATCGTAGAGCTTGGCATTGCATGAGCATTCGGGCGGGAGACTGGGGAGGCATTGGTGCTGCGGAACGCGCTGAAAGCCCAGAGGCTCGGTTGATGTGGATTGCTTGGTTGATGGTTAGTAAGAAGATTTTACCTCCTTATCACTGGGTCGTGAACGGATTGAACGGATCTAATCCCAGCGAAACATAAGTAGAACTCAGTCTCTTGCAACGTCGGGAAGAAAGTCGTTTGATGTTCCTCCTGCATGGCCCGGCCCAGTGCCATCATTGTGACTGTGTTCTATGTCTTTATACTTCAAGCACTTTGCACATGCCTGTGCTATGGGTGTTTCGGATCCCTTGCATCACAAGGTCCTTGAAGCTCATTGCCCGACAGTGAAGACGCCGTGCTGAACTCAGATTGCCACGGGAAACAGATGCCGTGGAACGCCTTGTTGTGGCCATTTGGTGTCTTCATCGGTTTTTGACCACATGTTTCAATCATCAAATTTAGAGTCCAAGTTTCAGATAAAGCCAAAATCACACATCTCATGGCCAGAAATGGACATTCAGAGGAAACATCGGCTTTGACCCGTGATCCTCATGAGTTGAAACATTTCGATCGGCAATCCAACTGGCATCAGGGCACCCAAGGATGTCAGCAACTCTCTTGGGATTTTTGCGGTAGGAGCAAGAGGAACATCGACAAACATGGATGTACCAAGACAATTCCAACAACAAACACCAACAGATCACTCAGAGACAAGCAGAGGCTACACGTACTCACACTGATGCATGAACTGCCAAACCCCTTGAATTTGAAGTATTCTTCTTCCAGCTGAAAATTCGTAAGAAGAATCCGGGTGAAAAGTTCTTCTTGCCTAAAATTTGTACAAATCCGGGGGGGGAAGTTCTTCTTGCACAATTTCTCCGGGTTGTCTCTTTTTCTTGCGTTGCCCACCATGCCATGTGAAGTGAAGCAATCCTCTCGAGTACCTGGGCGAATAGCATTACAAAGCATCTATCAGGTATCGCCATGTGAGCAGAACATCTAGAGAAAAACGTAGCAGGCCATTCGGAATAAATAATTCATTCTGCATCCTTCCCACTGCTTGCTTGTACCGACTCTTGGAATCAAACCTGGTTGTCATTGGCCAGCTGAGCCCAAACATTGCCTCCAGAAAGCAAAATACCATCCTGCTTGAGCTTAGGCTAGCAGATCGTGCTCGGTTGTGTGCAAAACGTATGAAAAACTGTCATTCAACCCGGCGCTATGTCACGGGAATGCAAAAAGTGGAAAAAATGAAAAACGATCCCAGTAGGAAGCAAAAAAAACATCATGGCTTGCGTTAGTTTTTCCTAAATTCTTCATCCAACTCCTGCTTTTCTTGTTCTAATTCTCCGCGCCAACTCCGGGTTTCTCTTGGCTATCCCCCCCGAAAAACACTGTTCCCCAGGCTCCAAATCTTAAACCACACTCCCCAAACATGTTTCCAACAACCGGCGTTGCGAGGCTGAACTGGAGCCTTGAGGAGTGGCCAAGGTCAGAGCGATGTGAGGAGGAAGAAGTGATACCGGTGATACCTGATGAGAGTATGAAAATCAACGTATAACTACTCGTCATCTTCAGTACTAAACCATCCAATGACTTGGGGTTTTGCATTGATTCAAGAAACACTCATTTGTCAACACATGTCAAAACATGTCAAAAGATGTCAAAAGATGGCACTTGTCGAAGTGGTCTGCGATGTCTCCTAATCAAAATCTTTTGTCCAGCGCCAAACTTAAGAGGTTTTTGGTCATCATTTTGGGATGGAAGGACCTTTGCAATTCTTTCCAGTATGTCACATTGTCATACCACCCACTTGAGATCGTAGAGCTTGGCGTTGAGCATTCGGGCGGCAGACCGCAGGGAGGCATTGGTGCTGCTGCACACTTTGCAAGCTCGGAGGCTCGGTTGATGTGGATTGCTTGGTTGATGGTCAGTAAGCCGATTTTACCTCGTTATCACCGGGTCGTGAACGGATTGAACGGATCTGGTCCCAGTGAAACATATACGTATATAACTCCGTTTCTTGCAACTTCAGGAAGAAAGTCAAATGATGTTCCCTGCATGGCCCGGCCCAGTGCAATCATTGTATTCTATGTCTTTATACTTCACAAGTACTTTGCACATGCCTGTGCTATGGGTGTTTCGGATCCCTTGCATCACAAGGTCCTTGAAGCTCATTGCGCAACAGTGAAGACGCTGTGTTGAACTCGGATTGCCACGAGAAACTCAATTCTTTCTGCACGATTTGACCTGGAAGATATCCCTCTTGACACTGCAATTGGCATTTTGGCTATAGGTCGACCAAAATATTACTATAGATTCCAAAAAGTGTGGAACACATGCTCAGTTGTGTGTGATATGCTCGTAAAACCACTGCAACGCACAAAAACCAGGCTGGGAAGAACAGAAGAGACATGGTTTATCGTTTTGGATTGATCCTGCTGAAAACAAGCTTAAAGCCGTGGAATCCAGTGAATGAGCTGTTTCCAGATGTTTGCAAGGTGGGTTTGTGCTGCCGTCATTGTTTCCAATCAAGCCTCCATTCGAGCCTCATATTTTGCAAGGGCTTGAAGAATGTCAAGACTGGGTCGTGAACGGATTCAATCCCAGCAAGTCTTGCAACGTCAGGCATCCCAGTGCGATGTGAAACTTTCAGCAAGGACCCCAGGACCTCTTTGCAGAAGTGGAGCCAGAAGCGATGTAAGTCTTCTGACTGTTTTGTTCCAAATTTTGTTTTCTCCACACAGCTCCATCGGAACACCGGAAGCTCCAAGGCATCTCTTCCCCGGCTGATGATGGGTAGTTGGAAGTGGAAACTGCTGCAGCTCGCTGCAAGGCGGTGCCTTGCCAGAGAAGTGAGAGACCCAAGTTTCTGTTGAAATCTTTGTCTTGAAGTCCCCGTTTTTGGGACTAAACAAAACATCGCGACATCGATATGTCAACATTCCATTCACCGTCCTTTCTTGAAGCTTTGCAACTTGACTTGACCGTTTGCCACATGTGAAAACACCCTTCCATGGTTGAAACATGTTGAAATCTTGTTTTGGGCTAAGCAGTTTTTAGTGACCGCCATGAGCGCGGAACTCCATTTTGGTGATGGGCTGCAGCTGCAGCAAAAACGCTGCCTTGGAGCCGGGCCGTCCTGGGCTGCCAACATTGTTGGTGGCTGTGCCAAAACACAGCCAGCCGTCAGACCCCAAAGGAGAGAAGGTTGTTGAGAAGGCCCAATGCAGTGAGGGTTGACGATGTTGAAGTTTCGTGCCATGCCTCTGCAGGTGCGAAGTGGCATTTGGAGCTGTTGGCTGTGAGTGCCGAACTGAAACAAAAGCTGCAAGATCCTCAGTTCGTGGCGACCCGCTGCGACTTGGATGGCTCTGGTGATCTCGATGCACACGAGCTGAAGCAGGCGGCTCGGGTCTATGGCATCTCGCAGAGTGGCAGCTCAGAAAACCACGGCACCAATCCTCGTCTCATGGCTGGGCAACGCGTCAGCAAAGAAAGCTTCGCTGAAATGGTGGCCTCTCAACGAAGCACCAAGCTGAGAGCCTTTGATTCAAACACGGTCAAAGTTTTGCTAGGTGGAACATGTCCGCAGAATGCATTGACATGCATCTCAGTTTTGGATCAATTTCGATCTGCGATTTGTTAAACGCTTCTTTTTCCCCACCTGCCAGGTGAGGGTTGTTAGATTTTATCAGAGTTGTTCTTCTCCTCCTCGGCTAGCTCTTCTCCTCCTCCTCCTCCTCCTCCTCTTCCTCCTCCTCCTCTTCCTCCTCCTCCTCTTCCTCCTCCTTCTCCTCCGCCTGTTTCGCCTCGACCATCATCAACTTCCACCTCAACTTCCGCCTTGCCAACTCTTCGCCAAGCTCTTTGCCAACTTCCCAGCTCAGTGTGCACCGCTGGACCTCAACCTGGGACCTTCCCAGCTCAGTGTGCACCGCTGGACCTCAACGGCCAGATAGAATGCCAGAAGAGATGCCAGATAGAATGTCAGATAGAATGCCAGAAGATATGCCAGATATATGCCAGATAAAGTGCCAGAATATTTGCCAGATAGAATGCCAGAAGATTTGCCAGATAATATGCCAGAAGATATGCCAGATAGAATGCCAGAAGATATGCCAGAACATATGCCAGAAGATATGCCAGGTAGAATGCCAGAAGATATGCCAGATAGAATGCCAGAAGATATGTCTGATAGAATGCCAGAAGATTTGCCAGTAACAAAATGTATAAATGTCATGGTGGGGATCACACGAAGTAAAGTAATTTATTTTTTAAATTTTGTTCAGCGATTGTTTTCTGGATCCATTTCCGAATCAGCATGAATCTACAACGACGCAAAGCATGAAGACATTAATGGGGGTTCGGAATGTTTGGACATGTTGGTACCCATGAAGCATGACTTTGCAGGCATTTCCTGGTCGTTTGATACATATTGGCGCACCGGAATCTGTAGAACGATGAACAGTGTAGAAATTACTTGATTCGAAAGTTGGAACCAGTAACCAAGCTAAATCCAAACACTTGGAATCAGGAACAGTCCCGCACTCCTTGCGTGGAATGGCATTGGGCCAGCTTCAACATCTTGAAGCCTTGTTCGTCAGAACTGGATGGCTCTCTGCACGATGTGAATCCTTCAACACAGAGAATGCCCTTGCCATTGCCAAAGGCACGAAGTTCAGGCAAAACACCAATCTTTATGCCTTGGACACCTTTGTGGTGACTCCAATGTCGAAGCCAGGCATGTGTGGAGCCCGTGAACATGATGAGCAGCAGACCATTGCCGAAGCACACGGAATTTCATCGTTTTCAGAACTGGTGAATCCATTCGGCCTCTTTGTTCACTGCTTTGTCTCCCATTTTTGGGGGCACAACTTCACCAGCACCGTCACAGCTCTTGATTTGTGGGCAGATGCGAGCTACGACAAGCTGACCTCGGAGAAGGAGGCTCTGGTCTACTGGATATGCCTCTTTGCGTTGAACCAGCACGACGTGGCCGAGGAGGTGGGGGAAAATCCTCAGCAGGGGCCATTCAACGCAGCACTGGCGCAAGCCACTGGTGGTGCAGTGATGGTTTTGGATGAAGAAGTGAAGCCGTTTTCACGCATCTGGTGCCTCTTCGAGGCTTCTCGGTTGAAGGACTTGCAGCGTCCCTTTGAACTGATTTGCAGTGAGGGTTCCTTGTCCCAGCCTGAGAACGGTGGACACAAGGCTGTGAGCACGAAGATGCTCGAAACCACATGCCAGGCCTTGTGGAACGTGTCCACTGCCAAGGCTGAAAGCTCAGTAGCCAAGGACAAGTACCAGATTTGGCAAGAAACGGCTGACGAATCCATCAACAGGGGTTTCATCAAGGGATTGGGTGCCGAACGTTACTTCAAAAATTTCATAGATCAGAATGGGGCCGATGCGTTGGCATCGTTCTTCATCAAGTTTGATCGCTACATGAAGTCTCTACCCTCCACTACGGTGCTGAAGGTCGTGATGGCTAGGGGCGACTTTGCTTCGGCGGCCACGTGCTGCCTTCAAGGAGCAGATGTTAGTTCTGAGCAGCTGGCAGAGATTTGCAGCAGTTTTGCAGCAGAAACTGAGAGAGAAGACTGGTTGAACAGCATGCTGCTGCAAGCATCGAATCCATCCATGGCCAAACTGCTTTTGGAGAAGGGTGCTGATGCGAGGGCTGAACGCGACGATGGTTCCACAGCACTGATGGATGCTGCTGAATGTGGCCATGAGGCCGTGGCCCAGCTGTTGCTACAGCACGGTGCCGATGTGGCCGCAGCAGGCAACGATGGTTTCACAGCATTGATGCGGGCTGCTCAAGATGGCCATGAGGCCGTGGCCCAGCTGCTGCTGCAGCACGGTGCCGATGTGAAAGCAGCGGAAACAATGGCGCACAGCATTGATGGGTGCTGCTCATGGTGGCCATGAGGCCGTGGCCCAGCTGCTGCTACAGCACGGTGCCGATGTGGCAGCACCAAGCAACGATGGTTTCACAGCACTGATGTTGGCTGCTCAAGGTGGCCATGAGGCCGTGGCCCAGCTGTTGCTACAGCACGGTGCCGATGTGGCGGCAGCAAACAACGATGGTTCCACTGCATTGATGCGGGCTGCTGCATGTGGCCATGAGGCCGTGGCCCAGCTGCTGCTGCAGCACGGTGCCGATGTGAAAGCAGCGGCAAACAATGGCGCCACAGCATTGATGGGTGCTGCTCATGGTGGCCATGAGGCCGTGGCCCAGCTGCTGCTACAGCACGGTGCCGATGTGGCAGCACCAAGCAACGATGGTTTCACAGCACTGATGTTGGCTGCTCAAGGTGGCCATGAGGCCGTGGCCCAGCTGTTGCTACAGCACGGTGCCGATGTGGCGGCAGCAAACAACGATGGTTCCACTGCATTGATGCGGGCTGCTGCATGTGGCCATGAGGCCGTGGCCCAGCTGCTGCTGCAGCACGGTGCCGATGTAAAGGCAGCACAGGACGATGGTGCCACAGCATTGATGTTTGCTGCTCAAGGTGGCCATGAGGCCGTGGCCCAGCTGTTGCTACAGCACGGTGCCGATGTGGCGGCAGCAAGCAACGATGGTTCCACTGCATTGATGTGGGCTGCTGAAGGTGGCCATGAGGCCGTGGCCGAGGTGCTGCTACAGCACGGTGCCGATGTAAGGGCAGCATTACGCAATGTTATTACAGCACTGATGATTGCTAGGGCAAACCGTCATGAGGCTGTGGCTAGGCTCCTCAGGGAGCATGGTGGTGATCAGAATTGGTTTCGGCGCTGGCTTTTTGGATAGCCGCTGCGGGCATCGAGTTTAGCCATATCGTAGACCACAGAGAAAACGATGCTGTGCAACGAGTGTGCTGCCAACTTGCGTGATGGAAGTTGGGAAGTCCTGATGAGTTCGTTTGTTTTTGTTTTTAGGCAGGATCCAGGATTGTGATGACTTACGCAGAATGGTCAGAGTCCCATTGGTCAAAAGCTTTGCATGATCAAAGATCTTCAGGCAGTTTTTCACAGGCTCAATCGATCCGTGAATGTCAGACTGACACCGTCTCAGCAACAAAACACCGTCGCAACCGATGAATCCATAGTTTGCCCAGGCTGAAGCGCAAAGCGTGGAGGACTAGGTCGTGCAATCGCAAACGGTGGGCGTCGCTTGGGCGATTGGTATGGTGTCATCTTTGTGTTGCTGGTTATATCTGGTTATTGTTGGCTTTAATGATTCCCAATTTTTGTTCAGACTATATTTATTGGGCGCGTCAACCGGCATTTCGAGAACTTGACTCAGGACTGTGCTTGTCAAACTTCCATGTTTTTTTGTTAGCTCCGCCCTGGGAAAAACAAGACATGTTTGGTCCGGAAATTTTCAGCTTCAACTTGAGCTCCTTGGACCCGCCCACAGTTCACCTTCCAGGTGAGTTGCGTGCCCAGCCGTGGAATAGGCTGCGGTCGGTTTGGAACGGGGTTGTTGGTCGAAAACTGGGCCGTGGAACACCTTGTTATGGCGTTTGGTGTCTTCATCGCTTTTTGACCACATTTTTCAATCATCAAATTTTGTGTCCAAGTTTCAGACCATGCCAAAATCACACATCTCATGGCCAGAGATGAACATTCACGGGAAGCACCATTAGCTTTGACCCATGAACTCATGAGTTGAAACATTTCGATCGTCAATCCGACCGGCATCGGGTCACCTGGGGATGTGAGCAACGTTCTTGGGATCTTTGCGGGAGGAGTCAGAGGAACATCGACAACTGATGGATGTACCGAGACAATTCCACCAACACCAACTGATCACTTCGAGACAAGCAGAGGCTACACTTAGTCACACTGATGCATGAACTGATTCAAGGTGTCATCAACTGTTCACCATCCAATGACCTGGGGGTTTTGCATTGACTCAAGAAACACTCGTATGTCAAAACATGTCAAAAGATGTCACTTGTCGAAGTGGTCAGTGATGCCTTCTAACTGTGATCTTTTGTCCAGCACCAAAATCAAAGTTTTTTGGTCAGCATTTTGGGATGGAAGGACCTATGCAACTCTTTACAGCATGTTGGGTTTCCCGGGGGGGTTTGCCGTGAGTCGGAATGAGTTTGCAAAGGGTTACATATGTTCAGATCATGTATGTCCATCCGCAGCCGTTTATTAGGAGGAAATTTCATGGTATTTTCAGTGTTTTTCATTGTTTTCACAGTAGCATTTGCAAGATGTTTGCATGATAAGGGATGATTGTTAAAGCCATGTTCATGTTCTGCGAACCAGATTTTTTCGCGGGATCCCGCGGAAAAATTAGCAGGATTTTCAACTTGAGATTTGTTGGAAACAGAAATAAAGTTGCGTGTTCTATTGGAACAGCATCATTACATTTTCTTCGGAGCCATGTTGAGTTTCGATGAATTGTTCGAATGTTTGGTGCTATTGATCGCGTGCCGCATGAGTGGCAACTTTTCCTGGCAGACTGCAGTTCTTCATTGGCCCTTTTTGCGGCCTATGATTGCATGGCTTGAGTTGACAATAGCGGACGTCCATGAATATGCTGAGATGATGAATCGATCTATTAGTGATGTTCAAGAGCGGCAGGTTGCTCTCAGCATGGAACACCACGGGTGTCCTCCCGGGCCTCCTTTTTCTGCCATTTCGATTTCAGTGCTTCACTGGTTTCGAAGAATGTGGCAACGTGTCTCGCATGACTCTATGTTTTATTTTCAGTCGGGTAGTGCCTTCCAGGACACCTCATGGCTGAATGCAGACTGAAGCTCAGAGAGAAAAAAGAGGCAGCCGAAGATTGCAGGACAGCTATTCCTATGTTCTTCATTCGCCCTAGCGTAGCATGACGTATGTGTCGAAGTCCAAGAGAAACTAGCAATAGCGTAGCCTGACGTATGTGCGGAACTCTAAGAGAACCTAGCAGTCGCAATGAACGTTAACATCCCCCCCACCCCCCCCCCCACCCACCCCCCCCCCCAAAGTAGCGTAGCATTACGTATGTGCGGAGTCCAAGATAACCTACCAGTCGCAATGAAACGTTAACAATCCCCCCCCCCCCCCCACCCCCCCCCACCCCCCCCCCCCCCCCCCCCACCCCCCCACCCCCCCCACCACCCCACCACCCCACCACCCAACCAATGGTCACGAGCTCAGAAACCTTCTTTGCTTCGGCAAACCCCTACGGTTGACCCAGCATGTTGCATCGCCATACCATCCGCTTGAGATCGTAGAGCTTGGCGTTGCATGAGCATTCGGGCGGCAGACCGCGGGGAGGCATTGGTGCTGCGGCAGATTTGCAAAATCGGAGGCTCGGTTGATGTGGATTGTTTGGCTGATAGTCAGTATGCCGATTTTACCTCCTTATCACTGGGTCGTGAACGGATTTAATCCCAGTGAAACATAAATAGAACTCAGTCTCTTGCAACTTCAGGCATCCCAGTGCGATGTCAAACTTTCAGCAAGGACCCCAGGACCTCTTTGCAGAAGTGGAGCCAGCAGAAGCGATGTAAGTCTTCTGACTGTTTCGCTCTGCATTTCGTGTTCTCACAGCTCCGTTTTGTCTGCAAACTTCTTCAACCATTCTCGAGCGCAAAGATGTCGAAAACAATCTGCTGACTGAAACTCATTTTTTTCAATACGAACGACGAAGATCCAGTGCTGAACGCAAATCTCAATAGATCCCAGGAAGTGTTTTGAGTGGAAACAATGCAACATGGCGTTGCATGGCGTTGCACATGTTGATGGAATTGATGCATGTCTTGTTCTTTGTAGCATGGACACACATGGAACACATTGCGACCAGGTGATGAAGACCGGCGCCTTCAGTGTTGCAAAAAGTTTGGCAGAGTTTCAGTGCAGAAAACTCGGGCGTGTCTCAAAATGGGGCATACTTTTTTTTCGAAATGAAGGGGAAATATGATGTTGGGCATACCCCATTTTTGGACATACCCATTGTGTTTTGTTAGATTTGTTCGGCAGCTGTTTGCTCATCCCATGCGTTTTTTGTTGCAAGAACTTGCAGTATCCGTGGAAAACCGCAGCCATTTCTTTTGGCTAGAAATGATCGAAATATGGACTCGAACGGTCAAAATATCAGTTGGGACTTAGTTGTTGAGGGTCTGTCAAACATGTTGTTTCTTTCTATTTTCTTCGTGTTGTGCCCCCAATGGGCCAATGGTCATGGCTTTGTCAAACCAAGGCCGAGACGAAGCTACCATCATTCCTCGGAATGTTTCCTCAGGCCACCCATGGCATGTCAACCTGAAACACATCAGGTGGTGAGTTTCATGGATGTTACCCACATCAAGTATCACTGAATATCCATGATATATTGATGATATCCTGATGTTTCGTTGATGAATTTTCATAAGATCTGGAGAGAAATTACAGAAATCAACATATTTGGATTGACTTTTGCAGATGTCAGAGATGGAAACTTCGATCTCCAGGATATCCACTGCCAGGGAAGAAAAGCACCGGCACCACGGGGAAAGCCACGACTGCACCGGCCCCCGGCCACCGAGACCTGTTTGGAACTCGGTCAAACCAGGTTTAAAGCAGCACTTTCCACATGAATTTGTCTGAAAAAATACGGTTAAAACATGTAAAAACCCAAATCTGATGGTCAATCATTTTTTTCCCCTAATAGATTGCCATTTAGAAGGTATCTCCTATTTCCAGACAGCTGAATGATTGATGATCTATGAACTGTTTCACAATGTTTCACATGTTTCATGGGGCTTCTTTGGTTTAGATTGTTTTTTGGTGAAACCGTGAAACCACTAAGTCTGAGAAGACTGCCCCTGGATCTCAAAGCCTCACCAAAGCTCACCGACCGGTGATGGCCTCAGTGAAAAAAATGGCTCCAAAAATGGGAAAATCAAAGGTGGGCTGAAAAATCCCACCACATGAAGGTTTAAATAGCGGATTTTCCAGCAAACCATGTTTACCAAAGGGTCAATCGTTATTTTTGCAGTTCTGAGTAGAACAAAACATGGGATTTGGTGCTGCCAGGAGATCCACAGCAGCCATGTGCCTGGCTTAGAGAACTGCAGCGGTGACATCGATCTTCGTTTCCCATGGATTTTCTATTTCTTGGTGAGGTCATAAGAGACGTGCAGGAGACTTAGTCTGAAATTCAGAAAAAGATGACCTGAAATTCAGACATCTTTTGTGTCAGTTGAAACATCTTGGAACATCTTGGAAGATCTTTGTTTACCACGTTGTTGTTTTTTTCACGTGTGTTCTACTTTCATAGCCGTCGTCGCAGGAAGCCACGGGGCACAGCCCTGGGACTCCAGAGAGTATGTGGGGCAAACCCTGCTGCAGGCCGGTCCTGGTAGGTTCTGGTCGTGGTACTTTGGAATCTTTGGAATGCTGCCATATGTTGCCATGAGGTGACCAGATTAATGAATTTGATGAAAGTTTAGTTGTTGAAGTCTTGTTTAAGTAATGTTTGAAGATTTTGAAGTGTAACTCGGATTTTTCATTGGGAAGCCAAATCATATTAGATGTTGCAGTCAGCCATGCTTCCAGGAAGCAGTTCGCAACCATGGGCGAGTCGACTTGATGCAGAAGAAGGACTGGCATAACTTGGGATTTAATGGCATTTAACTATTTAACCATCTAAAATGATGATAATAATGCTATATCACCAAGATTAATTAGTAGGTATAGTAGGTGGTGGCTGCAAACAGATGAGTTTTTTCGAGTAAAATGGGATGATGATCCCCAATGACTGTCCTGTTTTTCAGGGTTGAAAGCATCATGCAGAGTATTCTCGAAGTTTCCCCATCATGCAGAGTATTCAGCCATAGTTCCATTTTAAGTTTTAAGTTAAATTGCCATGGTTCATCCATAGTCCAGCCATAGTTCCAAGCCCTTCTTTTTTAACTAAAAAAGTGAGCTTGGGACACTCCTATTTTGAGACATTCCCATATTTAATTTAATCTCAAGACTTGGACACAATATTGCAAACAATGTGCAAAAAAATAATACTTAAGAAATAAGCATGTTTTTTGTTTATAATTAATTACTCCTTAGCATTATATAAGCAAGTTAAACAATAAAACAAATAATTAAAAAAGTTCCTCCATGTTTGTATATCTTTATGAACAAGTGTCTTTTCAGACTTTATTTATCCCTTTCAGGAACTGCCTTTAGCGACTGGATCCTTTTCAGGAACTGTCTTTTCAGATTTGATCCTTTTCAGGATGTGCCTTGCCAGACTTGATCCGTTTCAGAAACTTTCGTGTCAGATTTGTTTCTTTTGACTGTATTCTTGCCTAACATTCATTTTACTCTGCCCAAACAAATCCACAGAGGCAGCACACGCAAGACGCCTTTCCCCTCCGGATTCCATGTCCACAGCTAGACTATGGCTGAACTATAGCTACGTTAGTTTGAACTATAGCTAGTTCAGCTTGAACTCTTGCTAGTTCGATCTAAACTATAGCTAGTCTGAACTATAGCTAGTTCAGTCCGAACTATAGCTAGTTCATTTAGAACTATAGCTAGTTCAATCTGAATTCTAGCCTGGTAATTTTCCTCTTGGTTTGGGATTTTTATGGCGACCTTTTTCTTTGTTTTTGGGACCCTTTTTGGGCGCAAAAAGGTCGCCCTTCTTAACCCCTTTCGCGGTGCCAAACCAACGGGAAAATTACCATTATAGCCAGTTTGAACTACAGCTGGTTAGTCTGAACTATGGCTCGTTCAATCTACATTGAGCTAATCTCGTCTATATTTTTTAATAGAAGGAAAATTGGGAAAAACATCTTTAACATATCATATATGTACGATATCAACAACATAGTTTCCTCCATGTTTGGAATTGAAATGACCCTCGCTTTTTCGAATTTGAGTCATAAGAAAGAAATCCAGCTGAGAAAAAACAATGCCCCTTGCAGCAGCTTTACTGGAAACCACAACCTTTCCGAGAAAGCATCTTTGCAAAATTCTTTTTCCAAGCAAAATTACTACAGCTACTTTTTAACATACAGCACAAATTCATTTTTTGTCACAACCGTGTGGTCTTAGTAACTTTTTTGACCAACTTTCTATAACTTATGATAACTTTTCCTAAGTACTTATGTTAAGTCTGTTAACATAGTTATGAAAAGATAACATAAAGATAAGATACTTCCGATAAGTTCGTTAAGAATTTACATTTTACCTAAAATGAATACAACTTAACGTAGCCGGCTAGCTGTTACTTGTCAAAAGTCATGAAACTTTACATACTTGCAAGCAGGTTATAGAGACGTTATAGAGGGTTTATAAACACGTTAAAACACGTTATAACTCATATAAATTTGTAAACTCACATAACTTTAAGCGTACAGTCTCTGTTGAATTCAACGAGCAGTGCCCTTTGTTTGATTTGCGTCCCGTCCGGAAAGACAGCATGGCCAACCTCTGGCGAGCGCCCGGAAATCTTCGGAAATCCATCGAAATCCCTGGGGAAATGGGAAATGGGAGAATCAATGAGAATCACCAGTCGGAATCACCAACAGAATTCCAACAGATATTGACATCCTGACCAGAGGGTAATGCCGTGCGCCAGGTGAAAGGCCTTGGGTAGACATCGGCCTTGGAAGACGTGTCGAACTCAGATTGACATGTCACAGGTGGATGTAGAAAATCAAGCAAAATCAGAATGTGGTTGGAACCATGATCCAGCAGTTTGTTAGAACAAACCATGGGTCCGCAAAAGTTGACAGGCAGTGATTGTAACAATTGTTGATGCCTTGGCTTTGACATACCATCGGTAGAAACCAGCATTGCATGACATGTTTCTGCAAGATCTGACCTGGAAGATATTCGACTGACATTGCATTGGCATTTTGGCTATAGGTCGACCTATATATATATATTACTATAGTGTCCTATAGCATGGGTCACATGCTCAGTGCTGTGTGATATGTTCTTAAAACCAATGCGACGCACAAAAATTCAGCCTTGCAAGAACAGAAGAGACATGGTTTATCGTTATGTTGGATTGATCCTGCTGAAAACAAGCTGCCGTGGAATCCAGTGAATGAGTTGTTTCCAGATGTTTGCAACCGACATGGTGAGTTTGTGCTACCGTCATTGTTTCCAATCAAGTCTCCCATTCGAGCATCATATTTTGCAAGGGGTTGAAGAATGTCAAGATATGACTGGGTCGCGAACGGATTATTTTTTAGTCCCAGTGAAACATAAGTAGAACTCAGTCTCTTGCAACTTCAGGCATCAGAGTGCGATGTCAAACTTTCAGCAAGGACCCCAGGACCTCTTTGCAGAAGTGGAGCCAGCAGAAGCGATGTAAGTCTTCTGATTGTTTCGTTCCGCATTTCGTGTTCTCCGCACAGCTCAATTTTGTCCAACATTTTCGTTGCAAATCCCTTCTCTGTACCTTGAGATCCGATCTTTCCTTGACATGTCAGTCTTAGTTCAGCCCCGAACCGAAGCTCCAAGGCATCTCTTTCCCGGCTGATGGATTGTGGGCAGGAAGTGGGAACTGCTGCAGCTCGCTGCAAGGCGGGGATGCCTTGCCAGAGAAGTGAGATACCCAAGTTTCTGTTGAAACCTTTGTCTTGAAGTCCCAATTTTTTGGGACTAAACAAAACATCGCGGCATCGATATATGTCAATATTCCATTCACTGCCCTTTTTTGAACCGCTGCATTGAAGTGAGCTTGCTGTGAGTTTGTTTCATCTGTTTGACCATTTAAGCCTTGCAACTTGACTTGACCGTTTGCCACATGTGAAAACAGCCTTCCATGAGTGAAATATGTTGAAATGTTGTTTTGGGCTAAGCAGTTTTGAGTGACCGCCATAAGCGCGGAACTCCATTTTGGTGATGGGCTGCAGCTGCAGCAAAAACGATGCGTTGGAGCCGCGCCGTCCTGGGCTGCCAACATTGTTGGGTGCTGTGCCGAAACACAGCGAACCATCAGACCCCAAAGGAGAGAAGGATGTTGAGAAGGCTCAGAAGGCAGAGAGAGCTGTCGAAGTTTCGTGCCATGCCTCTGCAGGTGCGAAGTGGCATTTGGAGCTGCTGGCTGTGAGCGCCGAGCTGAAACAAAAGCTGCAAGATCCTCAGTTCGTGGCGACCCGCTGCGACTTGGATGGCTCTGGTGATCTCGATGCACACGAGCTGAAGCAGGCGGCCAAGGTCTATGGCATCTCGCAGAGTGGCAGCTCCGAAAACCACGGCACCAATCCTCGTCTCATGGCTGGGCAACGCGTCAGCAAAGAAAGCTTCGCTGAAATGGTGGCCTCTCAACGAAGCACCAAGCTGAGAGCCTTTGATTCAAACACTTCTTTTTTATTTATATTGTATTTTTTGATTCAACAGAACCTTTCCATTGGCGATTTGCTAAACGCTTCTTATTTTTTTTATTTTTTTAAAATTTTGTTCAGCGATTGTTTTCAGGATCCATTTCTGAATCAGCATGAATCTAGGTCGTTTGATATATGTTGACCCACCGGAATCTGTAGAATGATGAACAATGTAGAAATTACTTGATTCGAAAGTTGGAACCAGTAACCAATCTGAATCCAAACACTTGGCAGCACATCTTCGCTGAATCAAGAGCAGTCCCGCACTCCTTGCGTGGAATGGCATTGGGCCAGCTTCAACATCTTGAAGCCTTGTTCGTCACAACTGGATGGCTCTTTGCGCGATGTGAATCCTTCAACGCAGAGAATGCCCGTGCCATTGCCAAAGGCACGAAGTTCAGACAAGATACCAATCTTTATGCCTTGGACACTTTTGTGGTGACTCCAATGTCGAAGCCAGGCATGTGCGGAGCCCGTGAACATGATGAGCAGCAGACCATTGCCGAAGCACGCGGAATTTCATCCTTTTCACAACTGGTGAATCCATTCGGCCTCTTTGTTCACTGCTTTGTCTCCCATTTTTGGGGACACAACTTCACAAGCACTGTCACGGCTCTTGACTTGTGGGCAGATTCGAACTACGACAAGATGACCTCGGAGAAGGAGGCCCTGGTCTACTGGATATGCCTCTTTGCGTTGAACCAGCACGACGTGGCCGAGGAGGTTGGGGAAAATCCTCAGCAGGGGCCATTCAATGCAGCACTGGCGCAAGCCACTGGTGGTGCAGTGATGGTTTTGGATGAAGAAGTGAAGCCATTTTCGCGACTCTGGTGCCTCTTCGAGGCTTCTCGGTTGAAGGACTTGCAGCGTCCCTTTGAACTGATATGCAGTGAGGGTTCCTTGTCCCAGCCTGAGAACAGTGGACACAAGGCTGTGAGCACGAAGATGCTCGAAACCACATGCCAGGCCTTGTGGAACGTGTCAGCTGCCAAGGCTGAAAGCTCAGTAGCCAAGGACAAATACCTGATTTGGGGAGAAACGGCCAACGAATCCTTCAGAGGTATGATACAGGGAGTGGGTGCCGAACTCTACTTCAATGCTGTCATAGAAAAAATGGGGCCGCAAGGTTGGTGCTGATCTTCAGCGACTTTGATCGCTACATGAAGTCTCTACTCTCCACTACGGTGCTTCAGGTCCTGATGGCTAGGGGCGACTTTGCATCGGCAGCCACGTGCTGCCTTCAAGGAGCAGATGTTAGTTCTGAGCAGCTGGCAAAAATTTGCAGCAGTTTTGCTGCAGAAACTGAGAGAAGAGCCTGGTTGACCAGCATGCTGCTGCAGGCATCGAATCCATCCATGGCCAAGCTCCTTTTGGAGAAGGGTGCTGACGCGAGGGCAGCCAGGCACAATGGCCACACAGCCCTGATGTCGGCTGCTCGAGGTGGCCGTGAGGCTGTGGCCCAGCTGTTGCTACAGCACGGTGCTGATGCGAGGGCAGCAAGAAACAATGGCGCCACAGCATTGATGTTGGCTGCTCTAGGTGGCCATGAGGCCGTGGCCCAGCTGCTGCTACAGCAGGGTGCCGATGTGGCGGCAGCAAAGAACGATGGTGGCACAGCATTGATGTTGGCTGCTCAAGGTGGCCATGAGGCCGTGGCCAAGGTGCTGCTACAGCACGGTGCCGATGTGGCGGCAGCAAGCAACAATGGCGCCACAGCATTGATGTTGGCTGCTCAAGGTGGCCATGAGGCCGTGGCCCAGCTGTTGCTACAGCACGGTGCCGATGTGGCGGCAGCAAGGCACGATGGTTCTACAGCACTGATGAGCAGCACTCTAGGTGGCCATGAGGCCGTGGCCCAGCTGTTGCTACAGCACGGTGCCGATGTGGCGGCAGCAAGCAACAATGGTTCCACAGCATTGATGTTGGCTGCTAAAGGTGGCCATGAGGCCGTGGCCCAGCTGTTGCTACAGCACGGTGCTGATGTGAAGGCAGCAAAGAACAATGGTTTCACAGCACTGACGTCGGCTGCTCAAGGTGGCCATGAGGCCGTGGCCCAGCTGTTGCTACAGCACGGTGCCGATGTGTTGGCAGCAAGCAACGATGGTGCCACAGCACTGATGCGTGCTGCTCATGGTGGCCATGAGGCCGTGGCCCAGCTGTTGCTACAGCACGGTGCCGATGTGGCGGCAGCAAAGAACGATGGTGGCACAGCATTGATGTTGGCTGCTCAAGGAGGCCATGAGGCCGTGGCCCAGCTGCTGCTACAGCATGGTGCCGATGTAAGGGCAGCAACACACCATGGCAGGACAGCACTGATGCTTGCTAGGGCAAATCGTCATGAGGCTGTGGCTAGGCTCCTCAGGGAGCATGGTGGTGATCAGAATTGGTTTCGGCGTTGGCTTTTTGGATAGCCGCTGCGGGCATCCAATTTATCCATATCGTAGAGAAAAGGATGCTGTGCAACGAGTGTGCTGCAAACTTGCACGATGGAAGCTTTTGGGAAGTCCTGATGAGTTCGTTTGTTTTTGTTTTGAGACAGAATCCAGGTTTGTCATGGCTTGTGTATAGTGAGAGTCCCGTTGGTCAAAAGCTTTGCATAATCAAAGATCTCCAGATCTTTCACAAACTGAATCAATTTGTAGCTTTGGTGAATCCGTACCTTGTTTTTGCCCAGGCTGCGCGAACCGCGGAAAACGAGGTACTTCACGCAATCGCAGACAGTGAGCGTTGCTTGGGCGCATGGTATGGTGTCATCTTGATGTTGTTGGCTGTTGTTATTTTTCATCCCTGATTTTTTGTTCAGATTTCTGGGGAGGCGAGATGCAGAGCATTGCTGATTAAGCAGAATTTCGAGAACGTGACTCAAAACTTTGCTTGTCAAAATCCAAAGTCCTTTTTGGCTAGCTCCTTCTAAGCCTGGGTTTGTTGATCCAAAAATGGGGCCGAACACCTGCACATGTTTTGGCCATGCTTATCTTCATCGATTTTTGAGCGCATTTTCTCAATCATCAAGTTTGACGGCCAGCACTTGTATGCCCCAAACTCTTTCGGGATTGTCGGAACCCTCCTTTTTGGTGACATTTCAGTACTTTGCGGCCTTCCGCTGTGTTGGGATGTGATAACTTGATGGCTCTGTGTTCAATCATCAAATTCAAGGGGAGTCCAAGGTTGAGACCATGCCAAAATCACACATCTCATGGCCAGAAATGGACATTCTGAGTTGAAACATCAGCTTTGACCCATGAACTCATGAGTTGAAACATTTCGATCGTCAATCCAACCGGCATCGGGTCACCTGGGGATGTGAGCAACGCTCTTGGGATCTTTTCGGGAGGAACAAGAGGAACATCGACAAACATGGATGTACCGAGACAATTCCACGAACAAACACCAACTGATGGATGTACCCAACTGATCACTTCGAGAAAAACAGTGGCTACACTTACCCACACTGATGCATGAGCTGATTCAAGATGTCATCAACTGTTCACCATTTTTTGGCTCCGAATCTTAAACGACACTCCCCAAATATGTTTCCAACATCCGGCGTTGCGAGGCTGAACTGGAGCCTTGAGGAGTGGCCAAGGTCGGAGCGATGTGAGTAGGAAGAATTGATGTCTGATGGGAATATGAAAATGGATGAAGTTCGGAGTACCAGATGCATTGCACCTCCAGTACTAAACCGTTTAATGACTTGGGGTTTTGCATTGACTCAAGAAACACTCGTATGTCAAAATATGTCAAAAGATGTCACTTGTCGAAGTGGTCTGCAATGTCTCTTCTAATGGTAATCTTTGGTCCAGCGCCAAATTTAGAGGTGTGTGGTCAGCATTTTGGGATGGAAGGACCTATAGCAACTCTCTCCGGGATGTCACATTGCCATACCATCCATTTGAGATCGTAGAGCTTGGCGTTGCATGAGCATTCGGGCAGACCGCGGGGAGGCATTGGTGCTGCGGAACGCTCTGAAAGCCCAGAGGCTCGGTTGATGTGGATTGTTGGTTTTGATGGTCTTTACCTTTCACTGGGTCGTGCACGGATAGAACGGATCTAATCCCAGTGAAACATAACTTCTAACTCGGTTTCTTGCAACTTCAGGAAGAAAGTCAAATGATGTTCCTCCTGCATGGCCCAGTGGCCCAGTCTCTGCAATGGTTGTATTCTATGTCAGTCTATATACAAGCTTTGGTTTCTTTTGTCCATGCAAGCCGAACAAACGCATCAGAGCTAGGTTGCAGGTGCATTCCTTTATTCCCCCTGCTGCTCACAAACACTTGTCCAAAGGCTTGACGGTTGATGGTTTGCATTGTTCGTTTGAGATGACAAGGCCTTTGAGACATGGGAATGATTGAGCAAAGTTAATCCTTGAAGAAAACGCAGCTGTGCAGACCCTTCTTTCAGGACCAAAACATCCGGCTAGAAACCAGCCACCTAGCAGCTAGAAGTTCTTGGTCGGAAAACATAAGCAGCAAAGGTCAAAGCATGCGCTTGGAACGGGGCACAGACATCACCAACACAGGGCACACAGTTGTACCACCCTGTACCACTCCGCGCGCTGTTGCGCCACATTGTACCTGAGGCGGAGCAAAAGAAGCGATAGAAGATGAAGGCACAAGTGACATGGTCTTTGAAAGCAGAGGGAAGACTTGGGAAACTTTGGAGGAGTGCAAAAGGACCTCGTTTGTGAATGTTTTTGACTAAGGTGTGCCCCATCATTCCCGTGCAAATTCGCTGGCGAGTTTGCAACATTCTCGGCTCACAGCGTTGTTTCAAAATTGCTGTTCAGCGTTGGTGCTATGGAGTTGTTGAAGCTTTGGAAAAAGTGGCAAGGCGCCCCAGATTCTGACAACGATCAGCCTGGGGAGGAAACAGAGCACCTGCAGCGTGCGCTTGAAAGGATCGAGCGAGATTCCATCCGGTATAAACAAAGTGTTACAAAGCCTTGGCTTGGCAAGAATGGCGAGGTGCTGTGGTCCAAGAATCGAATTTGCTTGGCAAAGTTTGTGGTGAGCCAAAGCTTCGAGACCTTCATGGGGCTGGTGATTTTTGCAAACCTGGTGCTTACAATCGTTGAGACCAATTCTGTTGCAGCTTGCTATCCGGAGTATGCCCAACAGCTTGAAACCTGTCCACAACGAACTAGTGCGCAATCATGGCTACTTGTTTGCACCATCGTTTTCCAAGTGATCTACACTATGGAGTGTGCGTTGCGAGCCTATGTTGACCGCCATAACTTTCTTTGGAACAAATGGAATCAAATCGACCTGTGGATCACCATTCTTGGGTGGGTAGGAGTTGCCCTGTCATCCTTGGTGCATCTGAATATCTTGAGAATTCTCCGAGTCGTGCGATTGGCCCGAGTAGGACGCCTTGTGATTTCAGTCCCAGAGTTGTACATTCTGTTGAGCGGTTTGACAACGTCATTCAAGCCTATTCTTTTCGGCTCCATCATGCTCATATCTGTGATTTTGGTTTGGTCCGTTGTTGTGGTCGAACTTCTCCATCCGATCGCGTCCCAGCTTGATTTCAGAAATTGCCCAAACTGCCACATGGGATTCAGCGGTGTTTACACAGCCTGGCTGACCTTGTTTTCCCAAATTGTGGCCGGAGATTCGTGGGGTCTAATCTCACTGCCGCTTGCGAAAGCAGAACCCTGGACCACGCCAATCCTGTTCTTCATCATGATGACGGTCTCTCTGGGAGTCATGAACTTGATTTTGGCAGTCATTGTGTCTTGGCTCCTTGAGTAAGAGTTTCTTCTCCAACTAAGTAAAGTAGCTCTCCTATGCTCATAAATGGGGCAGAGGCATCCACAAATACAATGGCGTGTGCTCAAGATAGATTACGAAAGTGTGGATTCAGATTTCGGGGCTGACAACTCTTAACCACTGGAAGAAGAAGAAAACAACAAGAAGGGACTAACTAAACTATGACCATGTATTCTATATTACCTTAAATTAACAGGCACTTAGATCACTTAAATATAGATAACCAAAGAATATGAAAGATAAATATAACTGGTGATACAGTATGGTAGAAATGATATCTACATGTTGGCAGTGGCCAACCCAGACCTGACCAATTTAGGAACACATGTCAAACACGTGATTGTGTAGAAGCGTGTAAAACATAGAGCAAAGATCATTGTGTCAGTGAAGTAAAATGGCAACAACATAGAATAGGCCATTTAGCATGTCTGGTTCATAGTGCTAATGTGTAATTCATGTTCATTTGCAATCTTGTTAGTTCCGTCTTGTAGTTTACCACTTCTTCCTATGGTTTTCTTCAGGTCATGCTTGTGTGGTGGTTTGGGTTGGTGGTTTTGTGGGTCTGGAAAATTGGTGGCATTCTGCAAAATAATGCTTAAAAGGAAGCTAATATTGAAAAGGGCGACTAGCAGTGTCTGCAGACTTGGTTGATTGGTGCCGGTGCTCTGCGTTTGATGCAGGTTTCATGGAGTTTCCTTGGCCTGTCTTGGCATCAAAAAACGCAGCGAAAATCCCATCAAACCTGCATCAAATTTGCTAGAGAAGTAGCATTGAAATATGCCTATTACATGAAGTTGGCCAGTTTGGCCTTCTTTTTGGATGCTATTTTCATGCAGGTTTCTCCAGGTTTCATGCTGTTTTCTGTTTTTTTCCGTTAGCAAAGTGCCTGAAATCTGCGAGAACTTTGCAGGACACCTGACATTTCCATAAAACCTGCTGGAAACGTGCAGGCAACCTGCGCCTAAACTTTCTCAATTTTCAAACAAGGAATCAGGGACTCAATTCTTCGTCATGAGAAAAAAATAAACGTTCAATAAACAATTCATGAGGAAATCAATTTTTGTTTGCCGTTTTCACGCAAGTTTCCTGCAGGTTTCATACCGTCCTCCTGTCAGAAAAGTGCATGAAACCTACTGCGACTCCGTACCTAAACATTGCCCAATTTTTCGACAGCTCATCAGGAACCCAATTCTCAGGTGCTGTTTTCATGCAGGTTTCCCGTGCAGGAACCTTCCATGAAACCTACACCCGAACATTTCAATCAGGGCGCTTCTTGCCGTGAGTAGAAAATCAATTTTCCTGACCCCCTGGCCCACCAACCCAAACCACCACACAATAAGCACACGTTGATTTCTTGAGGTTGAAAAGGCCGCGGAAGCTCGGGAGAATGATCAGGAGAGGAAGCTAAAGCAAGCTGATCAGCAAAGACAGAAGGACATGGTCGAACTGGCGGTGCTGTGTGATCGGATGGACAACGATGGCAGTGGTGCTTTGTCCCTTCAAGAGATGCTAGATGGCTTCGACTATGACTTAGATTTCCAAAAGGTGATGGCACGAATGGACATCGAAAGATCAGAGGTGGAGACGTTGTTCAAAGCTTTAGATGCCGATGCGTCGGGGGAGTTGGACTTTCTGGAATTTTGCTATCATTTGGGTAGCTGCAAAAGGAGAGATCCATTGATGCTCTCTGCTTTGACCAGGTATGGCGTGATGGAAGTGAAGACTTTGATCCATAGCGAAGTTTCCAAGGCTTTGGAAGAACAGAGGCAGATGCTTCAAGACCAGCTGGAACTCCTTTCCCACATCCCGAGCTGTGAACAAGCTGCGAAGCAGCTCCGACAGAAACGCTTGGAAAAGGCGTGTGATGGTTCCGACAGCGGGCAGCATGGGAAGCATGTGGGAAACGATGAAAGCGCCAAGCCCGTGCCAAAGCAGCACGCGCGGCGCACACAGCACCAGCATCAGGTGCAGCGCATCCAGAAGTTGCGGGCCACAGTCCGAGAACACAGGCAATCCTTGAAAGCGACCGAAGAAACGGGAGAGACGGAGCAAAAGATGTCTCAAACTTTGCCTGCTGGGTCCATCGGGCTCA